TTTTCTTTCCTGGTAGGCAAACCAAACTTTTTGAGATCCATTGAAAAAGTGGCATTTGAAATCTTGAGTTCCTTCTGCAAAACATCATGACGCACACGTTCGGCTTAGTTCAAGCAAGCAAATGTTGCATTCTTATATTCACGCTAGATGACGCTAACCATACCGCTAGAGTCACCGCATCTGAACCAAATAACAAATCACAAAGGAACGGAATCTGAGTAACCTTACAGAGGAATGGTAAAGAGCTTTGCATTCCGGAAATCAATTGTGCTTTTGTGTTTTTCATTTGTCACGTCAAGAAACGCGCAGATAAGCAAGGAGCTGCCAAATCACAATGGCCTTCACTGTTCTTCGCAGTGTTTTCTAATTTATTCTTATTTCGATTCACTCTCTCAAAGACATCAACAATCATAAGTACCATTTTTTGACAATATGTTCATTATCCTGCGGTTTATTATTTTCGCACTGATTTACTTTCGGAACTTCCTTGAAAACTACTGACGAGGCCACTGAGAAAACTGCACTACGGTACTGTTCTTATTCCCAAAACCAGATAGTGTGAAAATAAGTCCCAAAAGGATATCAGAGAGGTATAAACTTCCTTATTTGTTATCATGCCACTGAGTTTGCGTAAATACTTACACCCGAGGATCCATACAACATAAGAGGTGAGAATTGATAGCAGTAACCTTGTCTGTACACAAAACTTATTCCAACCGATCATCTTTCTATGTACCTTAATTCGTTAGCAGTTGCAGCGAGCTGCTTCTCAATTCGGTCCGAAGAAAGGATCATGAAGGTGTTGCTTGTAATTTCATTTCCATTCAAAAATGAAGGTCTTGCAGGTGGGTGCCCATTTAGGCGTTCTCAAACTCGTCAAACATTCTTCTCGTCAAACATTCTCTTTGTAACGGATTGCACACATTATTTCTGAGCCAGTAGTAGCCCTCACAAACGAGGTCGCACTAAGGCTGTGTTCTATTAATCTCAGAGTACGAGAACAGTTCCATGACAGTGTTTAGTTAGAGCGCTGTGCTGGAACTGTTCCCGAACTTCCGAATCAGTATGAACGCAGCCTAAGCTCGAGCACACTTTCATTCCGCATACCATCTGTCGATTAACAGGCTATCTTTCAACCTACCCGTCAGCGCATATCGTGACCTTAGCCGAGCCAAAGCTTGTACTCTTATTGTTATACATGACGTATCCTCTCAAACTAATATATCATCTCCACTTTTTTTAGAGACAGTGCGCGGTGGTGAAAAGAAATAAAAAAGAAGAAAAGAAAAGGAGCGCGAGGCTAAAGCCGACTACGCCGGGCTGGGGACCTGGGATAAACGAGAGTACGAAAGATCAACCTAAGGCCCCGGACAGACTTCACGCGATTTGATCGTCGCGACTCAATCGCCAACATTTCCATTCATTTTCATTTCACATTCAAAAATTTCGGGCTGCAAAAGTATCACAACCGAAATGCAAGTTGGTCGGCATGGAATGATGTTGTAACAGTTGTCTCGTCGCGATTCAGTCGCCATGATCGGCGTGACTGTCCGGGGCCTAGATCAAAACATATATGATGAAAATTACATTGAGATGCGTTAGCACGAAAAAGAACGGGTTAATTGCCCGGTTGATCTGCCTGTTATCACAGGATTGTTTCTACATTTATCGAATGCAAATCGCAGCCACGAAGCGTTCGGTATAGTAAGCACCATGTGCCAGTCAAAGTTCGATGCCGGTGGATTCTCTAGTTTTGCGGAGACATTTGCAAGCCTCGTGTTAGGTTCCCAACCTTGATTTGATAGGTGGTTGGAATGTAGCCGATTAATTGTTCAATGGCCGGGATTATGGTTGAGCTCCCTGTATAGATTCATGATCCGGTCTGACCCGTCGCGACCCTAGCTCGTTCATGTTGTGACGTTTCTAGGGCATATCACTACGGCCCCTGATATGTTCCTCAATTTTTACTGTCCAATTTTTCTTTCCATTTTTAGCTGTAACGTGCATTGGTCTCCTTATCTTCTCAAGCAAGAAAAATAACTCGAGAACTTTCGCATAGCACTATGAAAACCTCATTGTTTACGTTTTGCAATTATACTCCATCAAAACAAAAAAGGAGCTTTATGAAATGAGACCATACTTTGACGGTGATTCAAAAATAGGGAGATTTACTGTTTTACCCTGAAGTCCCTCGACAACTACAATACAAACGCTTCGAAATAGAGTGATCTTCGCATGTTTCTTCCAAGCCCTTGCAGCTCCATTTCCGCAATCATTCGAGCGGAGCTTTGAAGAAGTCGGAAGACTTTTTTCGCCGTCGAAAAAAACTTTCATGTTCTGATGATTATTTGAACGTGCAGAAATTTCTTACTCTGTACGAGTGTACGAAACGAAGATTATTAGAAAAAGTGCTAGTTAGGCGCAGGCTAGAGAACATGCTTGGCCCACGATTCTCTAAAAATGGGAAAAGATCGAAATGAGCTGCAAAGGTTGGATAAGGTGAAAGCTCTATCAGATGACAACCGTTAAAGACTCATTCGATAGCCCGACGAGAAAAAAACTAAAGGAATGTTCTTGCACACATTACACAGCTTCATCTATTGCGGATACAATTCAACAAAGAATTCAACACCACATATCTGTGCGCCTTCATTCACATTTTTTCCATTTTAAATACGTTCATATCTATGCTTTTCGATAATATCTGCCATAGCCTCTTGCCTTTACTCTTTGTTTGCCATTCTTCCCATAAAAACTTTTTGTCAATTAAAAGAAGCAATAAGAATGTAAATGAACAGTGTGTGACTAAGAACATTACAATTACGAAAATCAAGTAAGCCGCATTGTTGTAACAGATCGATTGAGGAGCGACATCTCTCTTAAAATGATATAGAAAAACCGTTTTTATTGCCCATTTCGAAAGCTTCGCTTCCAAATACTTTTGCTTCTACTGCCAACTCAACTTTGCATTAGCAAGCCCTATTTGTTGCACATTTTATTTGCTTCGACTTGTGCCTTCAGTCAAGGTGTAGATATACGATTTACGGTTCGACTACCCTCGGCGAGACTTGACCGGTTGGCAAGACCCAAGAGATATCTGCGCTTGCGAATATAGTCTCATTTGCTTGCAGTGCGATTTGACAGGACTATCAGAAAATTGCGAAATTCAGTAAGTGGCGCCTCCGCCTCCTCTATGCACTTATGGTATGCGTTAGTATCTGCCCCAAAAATGAATTACTTCTGATTACAGCATTTTTGTGCCCGACTCTGACAATCACTTCCTAGAATGACAATGCTCGTGGTAGCTTGCGTCATTGAATGACTTTTGATGTCATAGCTGTCAGATCTCGTCGTAAAAGCCTCAATAAAATTGTGGAAAACTCATGTCTTTGGACTTATCTTTTGGCTTTCTTCTGGTACCGAATGAAATAGAATGGAGCATGCTTTTTGTACTATAAGCTGGCACCAACTATTACCATGTTCGATGTAAGGAGCCAATCGGAGGCTGGAGGCATATAAAATTTGATTCAACTGGCTTGGCTTCGGGAAGGCGGAGCTCCATGAATTAATTAAAGGCAGTGTCCCGACAGATTGATTTCCACCTTTTTGCATATTCTAAGCCTTTTCGTTCCTAGACCTCAAATTTGAGCTTTGAAACGGGTGAAAAGACTTTTTGGGGGCGTTTACCCGATTTCTAAAAGACAGCTCGGACGAGATCAGTGGAAAGTTAGGAGGCCCTGGCACGAAGGCCCTGCTGCCTGTAATTTTTGCTTTGGACAGCATGCATGATGCGGAAGAGTGGTCGTGGGGTCCTGCGCCGAACGGTAAGCGAAGTCGTCCGAGCGCGCGCCATTGTGGTTGCGTGCGCCGATTCAGAGGCTATTTTCTCGGCCCAGGGGGAACACCAGACAGCCGGACTGCGCCTGGTCAGTAGGATGACCAGGAACCCCACCATAGCAATCCCCAGGGCGCGAATCTGTCGGGACACTGCCTTTAAAGCTAGCTAGCGATCAGAGGGCACTCGTGCGAGAGAGGCGCAGGTGCATAGCGGACGCGAGCGGCCTTAATTACGTCACAAAGCCCCGCCTTCCCGAAGCCAAGCCAGTTGAATCAAAGGTTACATTAGGAGGGCTGTGAGGGGGGGGGGGAAGTGAAACGCACCTCCAAACTATATCCTGGTGCTCCAGAGATCTAATTCCACGTTGCTTATCTATCGTTACCTGTCTCTATCATGCTCTGTTATGGACGTCATGTAAAAAATTGCACTGCACTTCTGTTCCTCCATGGCCTTGTGGATGCGTTTAGACCAAAAATATGCTTGAAAAGTCAAAAAAGTGCTTTTTATAGCATTCTCCGGCTTTGGAGACTGCTGAGGAGGCTGAAGCGGAGATGCAGCCGAGTCGCGATTGGCTGCCTGGGCTAATCAGCCAATTGCCGCCAAAACGAGTGGTGTTACAGTCTTCTGCAGCCAGCCTCTATTTTTGGCTGGAATTCCCGCTCCTGGAAAACGACATAAAAAACACTTTTTTGACTTTTCAAGCACAGCTCTAGTCTAAACGCATCTAGAAAGCCAGCGGGAAAAGGGCGCAGTTGCAATTTTTCCGAACCACTACCTGCAAATAGCCATAAAAGCCACCATTTTTCGCGTTATCGTTTGGTACTCTTTCAGCGTTTCTTCCAGGCCAACCGTCCCTCTATGAAGATAGAACGATGAGTTTGTGATGTTTATCTAATCCAACGCTTTAGCAAGTTCCTGAGCAGAACATGGGTAAATAGAGTATTGCTTCTCAATAAAGCTCGGTGATTTTGATAATTCATTACTTTGGCCTTTCTTCTACTCTGTTGAAACTCCATTCGTCATTGGTTCAACAACAATAACTTCTTGAGACATGAGATCCCTCACGTAAAAAAACTGTTTAAAATCGTAATGGAGCTATTCGTCCTTACAATCATTTCTCGTATAGCAGAGAATTACTTCGATAACGTACGCTGTGTTCAAAGTCAACATTGGTGACGAATTTCAACTACAGATGTATTTTGCTGACCGGACACGATACATAATCCTTGCATTGAGCTTGGCCTGTTTGACACTGATCTTCTCAAACAGTCTAGCACTAAATTTCACCATAATCTGCATGGATGATGTGAAAGTGGATTACTACCGTCACAACGATAATACCACAGGTGACCTTTTACATACTATCAAATCGAAGATGGGACGGACATTGGACAGAAGTAACGGTTTAAGATGCTACAGGGTGTCCCAAAAAAATGTTTCGAACGTTTGATCGTTAATATCTCTCTTCCCAAGAAGTCTTTTGCCTTGCTTCAGGTACCTTGTAGAGCTGATTTCAACATAGATTTGCATTATAAAACGAATCACCCATCTCTCTTCATTACTGTAGGATTACGGTAGAAATTTGAAACATATGGGTTAATATGGAAAAAGCTGCCTTTTCAAAAATTTTCAAAATAATGTGAAAACATGTGTAATAGGGTTTTTATGGACGCTGCGTTCAATGCTAAACTATTCACAAGATTACGAAGCTTTCTAAACGGTTTAATCGCACTTTTTAAGAACATTGAAAAAATGGCCGCTACCTCTTACCTGGCATAACTCTTCAATGAAGCATCATAACAAGTTGTGAACTTTACAGTTGTAATCAGCAACTCTAATTAGCCTAGTGTAAAAGTTTTCAGGCTGTTTTGTTTCTTTTTTGAGGCAAAATGTGGCCTTTCATGGCTCAAAACCCTCTTTGAAGTTTCTACCGTAACCTACAGTAATGAAGAGAGATGGGTGATTCATTTTATAATGCAAATCTAAGTTGAAGCCAGCTCTACAAAACGGTACCTGAAGCAAGGCAAAAGACTTCTTGGGAAGAGAGATATTAACGATCAAACGTTCGAAACATTTTTTTGGGACACCCTGTATTTGAAATGGTAAATAGCTTCGACACTGACTCTATATATGCCTGCCATATGCAGATATTTACTGCGCCGATCACTTCATCAAAGCTTACCCAGCTGCGTTGTGCATCCAACTCACACCTTATATTGGATCCCGGTAGTTCCACAAATAGACGGGCCATCAAGGTAACGCTCCTCAAGGGCACCATCCACCCAGATTCTCAACATTCATATCTGCGGGCCTTCTCATGTCCCTGATTCCGGATATGAAGTTGAGAATACGCAAAGAGCTCGACATTCCTCGTTCCGCTGAGCCCGTGGGGTTGTCGGAGTGAACGGCGATTGGCTGGACAGGCACGGATGGGTGGGCATTACTGGAGGGGGCAATGCCGACTACTTGTGATCCTCTGCTCTTTTCATTGATCCGGAGCGATTTTCTCGCTTCCGGACGACATTTTGCGGGCTTGATGAGCACCCACTCATCCAATGTTCAGCAATACTGCTCTGAACTGAATAGCTTATTCTAATCTGGTATCTATTACCGCATGCTGCCAAAAGCTCAAGACCTCTGACTTGAGGTGGCTTGGAGCACCGCTGTTGCCTGGAAAAGCGATTTTTGACAGTTTTCAACGATTTTCATTGTAAATTTTGCTTGCTTTTGTTTCATTCTTCCTCTTGTGATGAAATAAGGATCCGAGCCTGGAGCGGATTTCGACAGAACGCTGTTTTGTTTTGTGCGCTACTCGGTATCTCAAACCGAACGGCGTTCATTCTTGTGAATGAATTTTGAGCTTTTTCACCAAAAGTGGGAGCGGTAGGAAAAACGAACGAGCAAGTGATGATCGTGTCCTATTTCAATACCGCTGGTTATGTGACCTCTAAAATACAAGAAGGGTTCCCGACAAAAACTACTTATATGGAAGAACGGGCGCGCAAAGGCGAGTACAGCTTTTAGGTAACACAAACACGAAAAAGAGTGCGTTCTCAAACCTCGCTTCAGTTTGAAAGGCAAGAGGAAGCAAGATACAAGAATGGGACGAAAACGAGCTCGACTACGAAAATAGGAAAGCGGTTGGAAATTGCTATTCCAGCGCTCAATACCGCATGCGGGCAGCTGCAACGCATGCAGCACATTCCGGCACAGCTCGACCCTGGGCTGGAATTACTCCGAAACTTCCGAGCCACTATGAACGCAGCCATAAAGTATATCTGACAAACTCAGACAATTGCAAATGACTTCCGCGGAAGATCGAACTTCTAAAATTTCCTAGGCGGACGCTCCTATTGTGCCGTGTGGGTGGGTCCCACCTTACCTGACAGCTCCAATAGGAATGTCCCCCGGAAGTTTTAGAATTCAGTTTTCCCCGGAATCACTTGCAATCTGAAAAGAGATCAGCATTGCGATGCTCAAATACAGTATGCATTTAAAACCGCTACTTCGACATGGTAACCTTCCCTTGTAAGCCACCACTGTTGCCAGATTTTGATGAGTCTTCGACAATTCCAAAATTACTGTTACTCAAGACACTAATGGAAACTTTTTCAAAACTAGTGAAAAATTCCAAATTTCAGTCCACTGGTTAGACTCTGGTAAACATAGAAACTCGCTGTTTTCTGCTGTTGCTATAGGTTGCATTCTTGGTACGATACCGAATTCGCTGCTCATTCAACACTTTGGATTACGGTAAGATTTCTCCATTCACGATCCTCTCAGTTTTATGACATTTTCATATGGTAAAAAATATTTCAAGTGCTACTGTCGCGGTCAATGGCCTCCTAACAACGGCTGCAACTCTTTTCTTTCCTTTTGCCGTAAAATTAGGATTTGCCGCCGTGTTCATAATGAGGGTGTTACAAGTAAGGCTGAGGAGCACAGTGAAATTATCATCATCTTAATTATATGATCTAGGGTGTAGGTACCGCACTATCTTTTCCTATGACGGGTATTGCACCAGCTCAATGGTCGACATTAAAAGCTACTGGTACTTTTATTGCTATATTGTCATGCCATCTGCAGGTATGTTGCTCAACTTATAGTCTGTCATGAACAGTGTTCCCATTCAAACGAGACTTGCGAGTGGCTCGCGTGGCGCTTGCGGACGTTTGAGTAGTCCAGTCGAGCTCATCGAATTGACTGGAGGCCGGCATGCGTAGACCTCGCGCTGCGCATGCGTAAGCGCAGCAAAAGGGACACTGCAGTTGAGACAGACTGCAGCATATTTTAGACCTATAGGTTATTGTTATAGTTCTGTAATATTCTCACTATGCCATTATCTGGTTTTCTATGTGAAAGTTCATGGGGATGGCGTGCAGTTTTTTACGTGCAGGTTGGAAGTCAACCCAATCATGTAGTAGCCATTTTCTTTTACTTTAGGGCCTACTCTCAGCGCTCCTTTTTCTATCATTCCACGTCTTCTACACTAACAATCCAACTAAACACAAGTAAGCACAAAGTCAAAGTGAAGACTTCGATCTACATTCAATCCTAAATTATAACCTTCCATTTGCAGACATGTTAGCCCCAAAGAATTAGCGAAAATCACCTTCGGAAAAAGTTATGAGAAAAAGCAGAAAATCCCGTATAGGTCGGTTGTCTCCTAATGCTTCCGTTTCGATATTTGCTTAGAATACGATAATTTTTAGGGCCATTTTCACTGATTCATGTATACTCTCAATATGGTTGTCGGCTGCAGGCGGAAACCTTGCATTCCAAGTATTCGTATTGTATGGCCCCACTTATATCAATAAGGTACAGACAAAATTGTCAGAAAAATGTTCCATAGTTGGTAATTCCAGGTTCTTCACTTGAGCATCGCTTCAACAGGATTCGCTACAGCATTGCCTCATATTCTCTCAGCTGTTGCAAAATTTGCAGTAGGTCCAATTTCTGACAAAGCCACTTGCATTTCCGGAAAATGGCGATTCATTTTCTTTGCTGCTTTATCACAAGGAATAATGGCAATATGTATTGTCGTACTGGCAAATGTGAGCGTTTTGACATTTTCGATGGAAATGCTGAATTTTGAAAACAGAAACAAGACTGAAGAAATCGACTCTGAGCTGATAATAAATCTTTGCATCAACGTATTCTTCATTCAGGCCAAAGAGGCTCGATTAGCCCAAGCTATCTATACAGCTGCAATCGTATTCAGTGGAATAAACGTAGTGGGAGTCGTCAAATGCGCGCAAGTGGTAAGTCTAACTCGAAAAATCTTACAAAAATATCCCTTATAGGCTTGAATGTTCCCCTATCTTTCAGGTAGCATCACAATATTCACATTTTGCAATGTCAATTATCGCATTTCTAACCGCCTTCAATATACTTATTACACCTGTAGCTGTTAATTTCGTATGTCCGGATAACGATCCAGCACAGGTATGAGCTAGCAAATTTGAGAAACCATGTGGTGCCCTTGTAGACAACACTAGGACTTGAATAAATGATCTCGTCAGAATCCAAAAAAGTGCGTTCCACAACCATTCCATAGTGTAGATTCTCAGCATTACAAGCATAGCAATTTTTTACACGTAAATATTGTCAAGCAGGAGCACTATATGAACCGTCACTGTTATTTAGTCTGATAAAAACGAAAATTTATATGGTACCCTGAGGTGGCGACGAACCTGCACGGAAACGATTGCCTTATTTGTGCGGACATACTTCGTAACTACAAAGTGTGCATTTTCAGATTTACCCGTGATCATAACTGTCGTCCAACGCAGTTAATCTTTGGTTCAACTGGCTTGGCGCGCGGAAGGCGGGGCTTTTAGACCTAACTGGGGTAGCCTCGCGCCCACGACGCAGTCTGCGTCTCTCACGCGCCATGCTCTCTGATCATTACCTAGCCTTAACTAGGTCCCGAAGCCCCGCCTTTCAGCCGCCAAGCCAGTTAAATCAAAGGGTACACTATATAGCGGGCCAAAAATATTCATCACACTTCCGTCTTGCACAAAATGTATGATAATTTTAGTGGAGCCGCTTATTTATTGGATTGAGCGTAGTCGTCGTCTTAGCTAACGCTCCTTTTGTGTTCTTTGCCAGAGACGAAGCAGCAGAATGGACGGATAATAAAGTAAGTCATACTCAATCTAGTTTAGTTAAATAATTAATTTTTCAGGTTCATGCGGCACTAGAGCATAAAGATACTGGAAAAAATGGAGATCTCATTGAAAAGTTCTAATGATGACATGCTAACATATTTTTCATAAGGAACAGAATGTATTCGTTATTCTTTTATAAATTATTTTGAAACGGCTGTGAAATAGCAATAAACAAAGAAGCAAATCAAAGTAGCGCATGTATTGCCAACGAGAACCTATCAAAACCACGAAACTGAACTTTAGCCTATTGGAATCGAATCTCCCAAAATTGGAAGTATACTTTGTTTGGGGATTTGAGCTTGTATAACCACACAACTCTTCGAAAACTTCAGTAGAAGTTTATGAACAAAGAGTTTATAACAATCAGTTAGTTTATAACAAGTTATAACAAACAGGGAGAGTGTTTCGACATTTTAGCCATGATAGACGGAGTTTTGTTGAGGACCAATATCACTGAGAGCTAGTCTCGTTTCATGAAGAGCAGTATTTGGGTAAAAACGACTCAGATCGAGCCGCAAACGAAGGCGCAAGCAGAGCCGCTACCATGAATTTATATACGTCATACCGAGGAAGCCGAGATCGCCAAAAAAAAGTCCGCAGTCTATAATTTGCTCTCGCTTGTGCTAGTCATTTCACTGCTTGAAGTCGCTCAAGTACCCTTTGATTCAACTGGATTGGCAACTGGAAGGCGGGGCTTCGTGACCTAGTTAAGGCTACAGAATGATCAGAGAGCACGCGCGCAAGTGAGACGCAGACTGTTTCGCGGGCGGAGCGAGTTATGTGTGCTATGCTTCCACAATAAACATTCCAACCCTCTGCCTCTGGTTCATTCGGCCAAATGTCTGGACATATAGGCTACTGCATGACGAAGGCGCAATACCTTTGGGCGCGAACGCGGCTTTGTTCACCGCAAAGCGCATGACTGACCGCGGAGCGCATGAGGCTCAGAGTTTACAACAGTGAAGAAACGCGCGCGCCGAATTCGCGCTCGCTCAACTAATACTGCTTCTGCCCTTCGTCCTGCAGTAGCCTTTAGGTGATAGCGCTCAAACTTGGGAGTGCGGCACCATAACATAACTCAACTCATAACAAGTAGAAAGACAACCTTTATAGTGATTTCCATGTTATGGACAGTAGTAGCTAAAACTCCCACAGAGTGGTAGGGGAGGTAATTGGGTATTTTATGGCTGTACTATGTATGAAAGACTAATCGCAACTTTCGAATATTACAGAGAACCAGCTGCACTTGCTTCCCGCGCTTTTATAACAATTTATCTCGTAACATGAGAAGACAATGCCTCATTTAAATGCTTATGCTACTTCCATGACTGTTCAATAAGCTGCAGCATACAACTTATCTGATTGTGTAAGTGATGATCTTCTCTTGCTTACATCAACTTACTCGTTTTATAACAAGAAGAGACGATAACTCATTCAAACAAGTACGAAAACCACCTTATCAAACAAGAACTATCCAGCAACTTACGCAAAGCTCATCTGCTTGAAATTAATGACTGAAAGAAAGCTGTGTGGCGTAGGTAAAGCCAAACTCAATACTCTATGCAAAAAGATGCATGAAGCAACAAAAACTATTTAAAATTAAAGCTAGGAGTGAGGTCTTGGGAAAGAAGGGATGAAAAACTGCAAAAAAGTGAGAAAATTCTGAACAAATGTTCGTGAATGGTCGTCACCGCTGCATTTGAATTTCCCACAACAATGTTTTACCCTAATTTCACGCAAACAGACGCACCTTTTTCGGTTTTTCAAGCGCGCAGCTCAGCGGCCTCCTTGTGTTTCGGAAAACGAGACGCCGCCCGTAAAAGACAGGACAAGGCTGCTCCACAATACACTCAGTCAGTTAATACGGATGCTATGCTTCATTTCACATAAAGTCAAGAATCCACGTGCATAACTTCAGATGTCAAAAATTCAGCTCGGAATTAAGAGTACAATACAATTTATGATGCATACAATGCGTAGTAAAATAGAAAACACCACCGAATATATACACATTCACGACCACGTACTACCTCAGCAGAAAAATCACAGTTTATATCTTGGGAATTCTGGACTGGTTCTTCACTAACTAAATTATAGAACTGATGATAGGCACGCTTGATAGAGTCAAAATAGCTTCATGATTACCCGCACCGGGCGGAGAGTTAAAGCGTTCTGATATGATTACGCTTTACGCCCATAAAACTCAGCGATCAGAAATAAACAACAACACTTTTGCAAAATTCAGCTTAGTGAGAAACAAAGAAAAAAGCCATGAAGGGACTACATATGATTCTTAACATTTATGAGCTTTTGAGCGTAAGTCTGATTAGTCAAATAGCGCTGGCTGTTATATTTGCTAACAATCATCATCTATGCCAGTATGAGTTCGTAAGGATCAACCAGCTAACGGGAGTTCGTAAGGATCATCCAGCTAACGACGAAATAGAAGAGAAATATGGGATAGATAACGAGCAGCCGCTTCTTCTCAGGTTGGCACCCAGACAAGAATCCCATTGCGGCTAAATAAAAGAATGAGTTGATATAGAAGACAGGGTAGATAACATCAAGAATTAAGATGTCAGCGACCAAAGAATGTCTAAATCTCACCAAAAGTAGACCAGCAGAAACCGACAGCCGTAATAACAAGTCGTAGAACGAATAGTTTTCCATAGAGAAGCGTAGAACAGACAAGAGCGGCTACTAACGGTGGCAGCAAACAATATCCAATTACACAAAGTGATTGGAAGAACGATCTACAAATTTAACAAAATCACTGATGTAAGTAGAACCGTCGTTATCCCTCAAAACCATTGAGTTCATAGAGATATGCAAGAATTACTTACATTTGGCCTCCAAGCAACTTGATGTTGATGGTGACGACTATCGATCCAAAAAATGTTATTGCAAATACTTGAGTGAACTGCGGAGCTGACCCATCAGGATGATTGTGCTGGAGCAACCTGAACATTAGGTGTCAGGAGACTGTCCATATAGAGTACCAAGAAAAGCTTCCAATGGTCTCTTAAAAACTGGTCATAGTCTGCTAATGCATTTTTATTTATTTTGGGTATTAACATAGTCCTTGAAACGCAGTGTAAGTGAATAGTGGATCGAATGGGGCAACTATGCACTCTTCTGAAGAGGAATAGCATAGGCTTGCAAGAAATAAAATGCAATCCGTATGCTAAATGAAAATTCAACGTGACGAAAGCTGAGCTGAACATAAGGCATCGGCCGGATTTCACTCAAAAGCGCCTAAATCCTTGCCTCTCTTCACATTTCTCTCTCTCCTCACGCACGTTCCGTACTGGTGCTTTTACCTAAGCGCGAAATGTGTATAAAGGGGATGAATGAAATGTGGAGAAAGATTAAAGAAATTTGAGCGCTTTTGTGCACTTTTACTTTACGATTTTAGGCGAAGTCTGGCCATTCCTAAGTTACCATGTGAACAAAATAGCCCAACGTTAGATCTCAATCGCGGTGATTGTGCTGAAGGAAAAGTCTCGACAGAATCCACGACCATTAGCCCAATACAAGACTACGTAGAAGGAAACTGATTAAGCACTTGAAATACAAAGAAGAAAAACAGACTGACATGAAAATTATGATGCCGGAAAGGTGAACTGAAAAAAGAAAACCAAGATAAACTCACAACGACAAACCGACGCATATGAATAATGGGCCCCAAAGATCCCAATCTCTCAAAAGTTGCTGTTTATCTGGCGTAGGAAATATGACGTGCCCAAATTTGAGGCCAACAGTGCGTAAGTCACGTTTCTGAAAAACGAAAAAGGTCGAATGACAAGTGTACGAAAATCAATCAAAGCTGCGTCGTTCAGAATTCAAAGGCTTTATAGATAGCATTACATATGAATCACAAAGAAAAAATTACTATCCAACACTCAAACTATCAGACAATTGAAACAGAAAGCAAAGTGGTGATAGTATACGATTTAAACTGCAAAGAAATATTAAACGTGACCTACCACGGTGTCCCACACAGGCTCGTCGAGGGTATCAAGTTCATCATTCAACCCTACTTCTTGCATAGGCCGAGGTCTGGAGGGACCACCCATGCCGGCAATATTTCCGGAAAGCTCATCCGGTGGATTTCGATGAGCATGTTGTTTAGCGGCAATTTCTTGCTCCAACTGAATTGAAACAAATGAGTCACTAACTTCTGGGTTGAACATTCACAATTAAGAACGCACACGATGAACGGATGGAAGATCACTTACGATATCAATATCAACTGCCGCATTGCCGAATGAAGTCATTTTAGTGGTTTACCCTGAAAATCGGCGGAATGAGCGAATTCTACCACAAGTGATGGAAAACAGCAGATGACGTGAACGAAGATAACTTTCATAAAAGATGGTTTTAACACTTCTCTGTAAATATTCGAGGATCACAAGCGATAGTGCAAAAACAAAACAACGACAATGAGGATTTCGCAATATAAATTCCATATAGTGCGAATAATGTCACACATGTTGCACACACATAATACAATGCAATCATTGAATCGATTGTATAAGGTATTTTCTGACCAATATATAAGGACCTGAAAGCCTAACAAGCGGAGCGAGATGTTATCACTTCCGTGATAGCATCTCATGCAACTCGACTTCAGGAAAATTTGCGAAGATTCTTTAGATAGAAATATCGTAGACTGTAGATTTGGGACGCGTGAGGGTACCAAAATAGTCAAAAGTGATTATCAAAAAAGTGTGATATGATTCTAATATTCTTTCTTTCAAATAGAATGTTCTGCTTACTGTTCTGCTCGATTTATTGTTTCAGAATGGCCGAATCAAGAGGAGACATAGTCGACTTTTGCAAGTAGAGAGGAAACAAAGCGAAATCACATTCGATATAAATGTTCCATCTCTAATAAAAGATAAAATATAGCAAGAAACGCAAAGGTTTCAAGATTGTAGAACCTTGCTTGAAACCTTTCAAGAATGCTTAATGTGTTGTTATTCCTGCAGAAGCGAATGACTGATTGCTTTGTCTTCTGCTGTTTTTCTGGCGCTAACGATTGACAAAAGAAAATTGGAAAATTGACGGAATGCGGAGAAGAACCAGTATACAGAATCGATACAGCAACTTCTCCAGAGTCTGGCCTTGAAAGTCAGCAATATAAACATCGATACATCCGAACAAACTAAGACAATGGCCTCACAGCTCTGTAAAAAACTAAAACAATGCAAGCTGCACCACTGGACTGGGCCTTCCGGGCTCACAAAAGCATGCATAAACATTATCGCCGAAAGCAAATGAAAACAATCTTTATGACCTTATAAGTATGCAGGTTGCAAAATCAACGTACGATTATGCATCCGCATCGGATTTGATTTCGCTCGAAACGTGGCACAAACGTACAGAAGAGTTGTGCGCGTGCCAAGACCCACCTGCGCAGAAGCGCGAATTGGAAGACTTGAAATTTCAGGTGTTTCAATTACTTCAATCAGTCATTTTCTTCTGTGCTTTCGTTGTTTTGTTGATTTTCTTCTGAACATTGCTTCCATAATGAACTGCTGATCAGATCAGAGTTTCTTGTGGGGATCGGAAGTGGAAGCGCAGTCCCAGCTTAAAGTTAAGTGCTAAATCTATTCTGCAGTAATACTAAGCTTTCTCTCTATGTGAATTTAGCAGAATCTCGTGTGATTAGGCCGATCGCGGGACTACCGAAACGTCGCTGAGACGCTACCATGAAAAATGCGCATTTTGTGCTTAAAATGTCCGGAAACCTCAAAACTGGATGTTGTCGGGGTACTTTTTTGGTCTACCGACAAAACTGCAGTCTTTACGCAACTTTGAGCGGGAGAATTACATAACGTAGTGGTGTAGACGACATACTTGAAGATTTGTAGAGACCGGCCATACTACTTCTGTGATTTCTGCAATTCCTGCGACTGTGACCCTGTGGGTCCTGCAACATTGCTAGCGAAAAAACAATGTACACCGAAATTCGCAAAGCGCTCCGTAATGCGGTACATCGGAAGTTGGGGAATCACAGGAATCACCTCCCGGGATAGTATGGCCGGCCCCATAGCGACCTTCGAACATTAAAGTGATTTCCCGTCTACAGTGCCCTTACATAGCACCAAAAGGGGGTCCCAAGGGCAAAAAGACTCATTTTGCTCCGCGACATCTTTATAGTCTTATGGTAGGTTACTGTACGGGCGAAATTACTAAATGCTCCATTTCGCTCCAACTAAATATTTACTTTCATATATGAGACAATTTGCACGCAGTTCTTTTTTGCGGGGTTACGGTGTTCGATGGTATCATACCGTAATATTTCAAGACTTCCAGCCAGGCAAGTAAGATTTGTGATGCAACTCCGAGTAGCTAATCATCAGTCTTGCAAATAAGGACCGTAAAAACAGTGCCTATAGATAAAGTTTCACCGGGTAGGGGAACGAACTCCGCCAGTCTGAGCCCGCCTTCGCTGGCAACTGGTCCTTTTGCTATATTGTTGCATGTCGTTGCAGGACCAGTAGTCCGCGAAGGCGGTTCAGACTGGCGGACTTCGTTCCCCTGACCAGTTTCACTCAAATTCGACACCATCATGGCATAGCGCAATTCAGAAAAGTTGCAATTATGCGATTATTATTTTCTCGAGCTAAAAACAAGGCGCTATTCTTAGCCTGAGCAAAAAGTGAGGTCTTTTTGTAGAAGCTTATATCAGCACAGGAAATCCTCAGTCGCCTTCATCTCATAGTATCTTTCAGAATGCAGTTTGACTCGGGATCATCTCGAATAGTCCGACATGGGATCAGGACAAACGCAACCCGAGTGAAGGTAACACTTTCGCTAAATCTAATGCAATCAATCTTTTCCCCAAAAATTGCTTTACAGATCTCCAACTCGGACCGCACATACAGTAGCAATCTTCAAATGTACGCTGTTCCTCCTTCAGAACAGATCAGCATAGAAGAATTTGACGATATCGCCATAGAACGAGTAAAGGCTTTGAAGGTCGAGTTCGACTAAAATAAACTTCAGATGTTCTCAAAGTGTTTATTTTAGGTTGTCGAAGATGTAAAAGAGCGATTTACGTTGGGTAGTAACGATTTCATGAATGCCATGACTAGGGAGCTTTCGAAAGTGATGCCGATCGCCGCAGGTGCGCATTTTTACAATCTCTGTGGTATTTAATCCTACTAGCGAACCAGTAATCTAAAGGTGCTATTTGAAGGAGCGTTCGCCTGGGGACCCGCCGCGGTTTTCCGCTGTCTGAAGATTATTGAATTGAGCTAAATTGAAGATTTTTGAACTGAGCTAACGATTCTTTATATATTAGATGGATAGATACTCAACTGTTTTTATGCATGATGGATTGAATGGACCCCTCATTACTAAACTATCTTGAGTTCCACCAAACAATTTGAAAACTGATGCAGGAACTTGCTTGCCGGCTGATTTGGAGCAAGCTAGGCGACGTGACGTCATTGGACATTTCATTTTACGTCTCGCCTTCTGTCGCTCGCCTGAGTCTACAAAATGGCTCGTTGCTCAGGAAGTGGATCTCTTCAGGTAGCTTCGGTGATTCCAGCTAACACTACCTATGCACTCAAACTCAGATTTTCAGATTTCGTTTCATGAGTACCACCAAGCCAAAGATAGTGAAGTTTTTGGAAGAAAATAAAATCAATCTGAATGTGGTCAGTTGACTTACACTTAGTGAAGAACAAAATTGCAAGGAATAAGCGACTGAAGGTAGAACCTTGCAGGTCGATAAACAGGAACAAGAAGAGCTTATGGCAGAATTGGCGGCAGGTTGTGGTATCAGCATCGATCAGGCTGTGGAAGCAGAATTTTACAAGGTAATTTTACTTCCACTTGATTACATTCTTTTCGTTTACTGTATAGGCCAGAGCCGATTTCTGCTTCAATGAGCCAACTATTTAGGTGGACTTCACCCAAGCTCTTGAGCTCGTTCGTCGTCGTCGTGTCTTAGTTCGTCATGGCTATGCATATGTGCCTTATAATGATCTTATAGTGATTGTGAGCGCAATGCTGCGTCTGAATATGACAGCTGCGATGGCGGTAAAATTCTGAGTTTTGTGTTATGATGCACTTCCTAACCTCTTTTCTTTCTTTTAAGCGTGCTTTCAAGCATCTGGCCATTATCGAGGAAGAACCTCGTCTGTTGCCACGTTTGGCCCGTCTCACAAACAATGCTTACAGTGGGAAACAGTATCTTGGAAAGGAAAGTGAAGGAAAGATCACTCGACAAATGATCGATCAGGTGAGCATTTGCTGAGCACAATCTAATTACAAGAAAAGTATTTTGTACTCTATATGGATTGTTTTTTTAATAAAGTAGTTTGGAAGGCTATGCCGTTTACTTCTTATTTGATTTCTTGATCTAGCTATGCGCGACCTCGTTCCCACCTTGCATGCGGCAGATTCATCATCGCCTTCGATCTGATCATCACCTTAGGCATGGAGCCAGAAGGTTATTTCACCTCAGCTTGCCTTTCAGAGATGATCAAATTCCAATTCAGACAGTACGGTTTGTTCTTGAAAGCGATTGGTTTATCCCTTGATGAGGCAATGATGTTCATGCGGGAAGAATTCACAAAGAAGATTGACTCAGACAAGGTTTGTACTGAAATAATGGCAAAATGCTAGAAAAAAATGCAAATTGTTTTTTTTTTCAGTTCGAGAAACAGTATGCCTACAATATCCGGCACATGTACGGAAAGGAAGGCCAACGTAAGGACTACCCAGCGTTCCCATGCAGCGCTATTATATTGAGTAATCCACCTGCTGTTGGCGATTGTCATGGTAAGATGGCATATGTCTTTGTCAAAATAATCATTCCAACCAGTATATCTCAGGGTGTCCATTCAAGCACTTGGAACATCAGTTACTTGCCCAGCGTTTGGAAAAGGAGGGCTTGAACGCTAGTCAAATCAGTCAGGTAAGAATAGTTCTGTGGTTCTATCTTCTATCCACTATCCAAAGTCTCACCGTCTAATGCTAAACTAAATCAACATGTGCTTTTTAGATAGTGAATTACTCCAAATCAAATGCCTATGACAAGGCGTGCACTCGCTTTTTCGAGTATACTCATAAAATGGGTGAAGGCGCATTGGGTCAACTGATAACCCATCCAAACAGCTACTACGAGTTATCACACGAGGTTTGTAAGCTTTAGATTCTTTGAATTTTCTTGGGAAGTGATTTTCCTTGTGGTTTTGGCAGTGTCGAATTGTGTTTTTACTAAAGGCAATCTTACCTGCAGGTTCTGAGCGGAGCCCGATCAAAAACTAGCCATATCCACCAGGCTTCCTCACAAGTCGTCAAGAAAGAAGAGGATTTTTCTGATACAGAAGAGTAATCTGTCCAACCAATTATACATTGAACGTTCCTTCTCGTGTACCTTATTTGCTAAATACGTGTAATGCTATGTTCAAACGGTCACACTTTAACCTTCCTTATATTAACCATTTCTTTGTTTAGTCCTTTTGATTCGCATAGAAGTCACTTTGAAATAAATTGACATTAACATGCAAGAGTGCAATTCTTCGGATCACTTTGTGGGGTGAGATAATCTATATCCAGCTTTCTCATTGAGAGTGTTATGCAAACAATCTTGAGCAACAGCTCAGCTTGATTTCCGCCATCCTTTCACATTAACATCATAGTACCACTGACTCTGTCTGACGTAGCTTATTCCATATTGTCCTCCGGATGTGCTGTCAAAACTTCTTTCTAGCCCAAAAAAATCTCACAATATCAATTTTTTGCACGCGAAGAACGAAAATAGATGTGGCGCGAGAGCCAGTCGGACCAACAGTTGCTCAGATGGGTATAGATCTGCTGATTATAATGCTATCTCTGTTTCATAAACATTGAGTTGTCTCCTCATCAGTAAAGTCCCAATAAGGGGGGGGGGATGGGGCGAATTTTGTCTGAGCTTTTGGGTGTATGTCAAGAGGCGCGATTTTTATTGCCAGATGGATACCAAATAGCAAACAAGTGTTTTATAACTTTCTAAAATTATTCAGACTTTATAAGAAGATTTATCAGATAGTTGCATGGGTTGCTTAACCTTGCTACCTTAGAATCAATTCAAGAGAGCAGTTTTGAAGGTCAAAAACCCATGAAAATGCAGTTAAGAACAAAATCGGAAATATTTCGGTTTGTTTCCCAGCAAAAGCCATCCTCAGTAAGTGGTTACCTCGACAGATAGTAAGCCAACGCACTTTATCTGGTACTTTTTGAAGACTCGCCATAATACTGGGGTTTTAAGTTGGTGACAGCCAGAGAAATCGCGCCTCTTGACCGTCTCCCTGAACTTCTTATGCGGCTGACTAATCTTGGCTAACATATGCCCGAGCGGCAGCTCATATGGTTCATTCATGGCTGAGTAATTGAACCGTGAGCGCCAGCCCAGATCGTAACCCAAATGAACCAGTCAGCGCGGTATGGCTGAAACCAGGCTCTGGGCTATAGTTAGAAATGATTTTCTTGGTCGCGAATGAATCATAGAGGTGGTCGCGTAGATAAGGGCCTCCTAATCACTTTCCGTACAAGAACAAAAGAGAAGGACGATCACTGCAAAAACGCACGTTCAAGACACCTTCGTTATGAGTTTTGGCTTATGTTTTAGAGCTTTGGTCTGACAAAAAGGATTTTACAAATTTACCAATCGCTCCGGAGCTTATACAGGGCGTCCCAAAAAATGTGCCTACTGTTTGATTGTCAATAACTCTCTTGTCATGAAGTCTTTCTAGAAGCATAGGTACCGTTTTGTAGAGCTGGCTTAAACTTAGGTTTACGGTATAGAAAGGATTAGCGACGGCTCTCTGTTACTGTAGGATTACGGTAGAAACACTGAAGGGGTTTTGAGCCTTGAAAGGCCATATTTTACTTAAAAAAGGAAACAAACCAACCTAAAAACTCTTACACTGGGCTAATTTGAATTGCTTATTCTAAATGTGAAGTTCGCAACTTATTATAATACTCGAATAAAAAGTTATGTGAGGTAAGCAGTAGCGGCCGTTTTTGCAATGTTCCTAAAAAGTGCGGCTACACCATTTAGAAAGCTTTTACATATTTGCATATTGAACTCAGCGTCCATGGAACCCTATTACACAAATTCTCACATTTTTCTAAAAATTTTTGAAAAGCCAGTTCTTCTCACAGTGACGCCTGTGCAGGTTTCTACCGTAATCCTACAGTAATAGTGAGGGATAAGTGATTTGCTTTATACTGTAAATCAAAGTTTAAGCCAGCTCTACACAGAAGGACTTCGATAATAGAATTATTAATAATCAAAAAGCAGGCACATTTTTTTACACCCTGTTAGTTGCAGAATTTTCGCTGCTTGTATCTATGTAGAAGAGACCGCATTGCGGACATTGTCTTAACAAATTTGAGTCTGTTCTTCCCTGTTTCCAAAGAGTGAATAAACCTGAACGAGATTAAGAACAAGTATAAACCTGCCAAGTGCACGATTAGGCTTATTTAGACAACGTGTGCATGGCGGTCTCGCGTCTCCTAGTCGTAGGATGAATGATATGTGTTTCTGCAAGTGCAGGACTACAAATTTGGGCAAATAGAAACCAACAGTTACCCTAGATTATGCTATCGCATACAAAAGGGCACAAGCTAAACGCGCTCAAAAGTAGAATTTCGCGAATGTTCCATTCTACAACTATCCAAAATAGTGATATTATCATGCTTTCTATCCTTTATTATTCAAATAATAGTAGCTTACATCAGTGCAACATTCGGGCAGCATATTGAAAAGAAGTTTTATAGAACTTAGTTTCATTACGCCAGTGGGCTGCCTCAATCGTTTCGGAATTTATCACAGAAAAACTCAAAATTTATCTCTTCATCTCTAAAAAGCCATTTTCTTTTTTTCATATTCACGTTTTGACCAGATAAACACGTATATTCGGAATGTAACTCATCTGTAGACTCATTTTATCTACAATCTTATCATTTCTATGCCAGTTGTTTGCTGGATAATGCGCTTCTCGCGTTTTGATTTTCTAGAGTCTCTATAATTCATTGAAGAGTATTTTTTTCCATTCAAAATGTCTCATATTTCAAACACCCAGCTGTCATTTGGTTGGTCGCAGTTGCTGTTCAATTCATTCCTCATGCTCAAGAATCAATAATGTCTGTTTTGCCCCCAATCTATTGTAAATCCTTTTGTAAAAGTTATTATTCTGGGGGAAGCTTCTCTTTTTGTAAAAAATACTTCGCGTTTGCTCCTGAAAGAGTTTGGTCTTTGCTTTTTATCATGCCGTTTTCTTATCTTTATCGACTTTGGCTCTTCAGCCCTTGGCAAGTGTACCATGAACTTGCTTTGCACTCTAATCTCAGCATTTCTGGCATTACTGGCGTTCCTCCAATTCGTTTGAAACCCGCTTACTCTTCTTGTAGTAATCCCAATAAAAATTACTAATCACAGTTTTTGTTGATCAGCAACTTGTAAAGTGTTTTGTAGATTGTATGACGGTCACATGATCTGAACGTTTTAATTATTTCTGCTGTTGCCAAAATGTGTCAACGTACACATGGGGCCCGTCACACTTCACCGAAAAAGCCCAAAAGTGCCAAAGAAGCCCGAAAAAGCCCAAAAGCGCCAGAAAAAGCCGGAACGCTTTGTTTCATACGGATTGGAACTTTTGGTAAAATTTGATGTCAGGCGACAAAAAATGAAGTAAAAAGACTCAATTGAAATCAAAATACATACTTTAGTGCCAAAACTTGCGCGCGAAATGTGGCGTTCCGGCTCTTTCTGACGCTTTTGGGCTTTTTGGCTTCTTTGAGCGCTTTTGGGCTTCTTTCGGCGCTTTTGAGCTTTTTCCGGCGAGGTAGTACGGATCCCAAAGTCATGCCCTTCTGCTGATTTGTAATTCTGATTGATATAGAAGACAAAGAGCTTGGACATTATAATCCACTTATTCTTCAAGTCACTTGGCGACTCAAGCAGCACGTTGTCCACACCGCTTTGTTTGCTATTTTCGAGGTCTTGTGTAGCAACTGATGAGTTTCAAGTGAAAACACAGTCTCTGCATCTCAAATGGGACACCTACAAAAAACTTGCATTATTTTTCTTGCGAAAACAAATCTTGTTTCTATAATGGCGCACCTTATCATGTAATTTCTAATGCTTGAGGTATGAAGGTCTTTCTTTGCCTTTCCCATGAAAACTCCGTAACTTGCTTACTTACCATTTCCATTTATGGATTCTATAGATTCAGCTCTCTACATAGACAATGCTTTCCCTATCTTCTCACATCTGAAGATTCAGGAGAGTTTTCTACAGTGAATATGTGTGGCAAGTATATACGTTACATCCCAGACCGTGTACCTTCCGAGATGACCATACGCTACATATGCTAGAAAGTGTCCAAACTTGAGAAGGATCGAATTTCTTTTGGTACTGCTTCTCAAGCAGTCTAGACGTTGTTCCACATCACCGCTGAAATTTTGTTTAGAGGGGTTATTTTGCAGGCTAGTCACGAATATCACACTTATTTCGCACGGAAGTGCCATCTGGTGAAATTACGTAGGGGGCCAAAATCACGGATTTGCCAAACTCCTTACAAGGGAACGATACTCGGTGTCCGTGGCCTTTTGAAATGAGATGTATATCATTACACTCGTCTTGGAACGCTGATTCCAAATCTTACTTCCGTTTCTGCTAATCGCTCCAAAGATGTTATCATGGATCGCGCAGAGCTTGGCTGCCCAGTGAAGATCTGTCGGAGCGCCAACGGCATAGGTGCGTTGTGGTCTAGTGGTTAGTGCGACAGCCTCATGAGTTGATGCAGCTCTAGGTTCGTGTCCTTTTGTGTTTTTTAGTTTTGCGTTGCCCCAATTAACCTTCTTTCACATCCTCAAGTTAAGTGAACGCCCTTACTCTTGAAAAAATGTGGAATTTTGGAAAAAATCACTACTGTTTGCGCTAAAATGTATTCAATGGTCATAATTCGAGTAAACTTTCTCGAACAAGCTTAATTGAGGCAAAAGTAAAGCGAAAGTAAAAACGCAAACGATTTGAACCTACATAAACTTATGGGGCTATCGCACTAACCATTAGACCAGAACGTGGTCGCAGTAGAGGCCGTTCCAATGACCATATTTCCCTTAAGCGGCCAAACTTGGATCGAAATTCCTTCATAACTTCTTTCAGAGAAACGATTAGCAGAAACGGAAGTCAGATTCGGAATCAGCGTTCGAAAACGAGTGTAACGGTGTACATCTCGTCTCAAAAAGCCACGGACATTGAGTATCGTTTCCTTGTTAGCAAGGTGAACATAACTATCTATTCGTGTACCGTAACGCCAAATTTTCGGGCTACCGCGGGCATACGGTAGATGGCTAACAATCTTGAATTTGCCCAAAACTTTGTCTGAACGGGTTTTTAAGCATGCTGGTTACAAATATCATGCTCCTGCAACAATGCCTTGTTGTTGGACTTACGGTGAACTACAGATCGTGAAATATCAACGTAAAAGATCAAGATCTTTTACGTTTTTTGGCCAAATTTAGATCCCAAAAATCTACAAAAAAACTTTATCGTGCGAGACGAGTGCGATATACATGATCAGCAGATCCGATAAACCTCTGCACGAGGTTGGGGGTGAGGAGATCTATCACTTTAGCCACCTACCGTACACCTAGTGTAATTTCGCGAAAAGTTCCAAACGCAAAAAAATATACAGCGTGCTTAAAAACCCCTCTAGGCAAAGTTTTGGGCAAATTCGGCTTTTTTATCCATCTACCATATACCCTCGTAACCCGAGATATCGGCGCTACCGTACGAAATGAATATGATTTTCATGTTTTCATGTTCAGCATGCTAAACCACCCCCTTATACGAAGACTGGGGCAACCGTGTATTTACCTTCTACCGTAATCCTATCGTAACTCCACCGGGTGGCACTACCGTGCGAGACAAACGTGATATTCGTAATCAGCGTGTAAGATAACCCATCACGAAGTTTCAGCGAAATCCGCGATTTTCAATTTTTGGGTCAACCCAGTGTGATAGTAACGAACCCTAGCAAGGGAAAGATACTTGGTCGAAGTGCAGTTTCCACATGAGATGTATACCATCTTATAGAGCACAGAACGCTGATTCCAAATCTGCTTTCGATATATGCAAAGCGCTTCGTGGATGGGAGTTTTGGAGGAAAAAAATTAAAGGTTTTGGCCAGGGTAAAAACGAATGTTGAGGTCTTCCCGGCGCTTGAATGGACTAACGAGTAGCTCAAACTTATTATACTAAAGATATTAACTGCACGAAGCTCCCCGGCGGTAATCATAACCCCGTCCGAGCTCATAACTACAGTTCTGAATGATTTTACTATAGCTGCGCCTTGAATTTTTTTGCGTCAAAAAGCTCCATAACTCCCCTCTCCCAAAAGCGCTTTGCAGATAACAAAAGCAGATTAGGAATCAGCATTTCATGCTCTATAAGATAGTCTACATTTTCTATGGAAACGCTATTCCAACCAAATATCCTTCTTTTATAAGTACACAGATTTGCGCGAACTATTTCTCTAAGTGAATGGATACGTTAGGACGTTGATCTACTTGTAGCTACTCTTCTGTAGTCCTTCAAAACACGCAAAAGCACGTAATTTACCGTTCATCTTTCAATTATTAGACCTAGGGGAAGGTAGACGAACTATTCAGGATTTTCGAGCAAAAAAATGGACAAAAACGCCCGATTTTCTTGAGTATACTAAACTAAACTTTTAAAGTATCGGTTGGAATGACAGACAAGTCTTACAGTTTTGTGCGAATCGTCTAATTTTTGATGTTACGTCTCAACAATGCGAATGTGCTGACGCATGCGGGCACAACAGTGTCAGGCGCGATGCGAGTCAATTATTCTCAAGTCTTATGAAGTTGTACTTAGCCTGTTTGTGATGAATCATCTGGGAAGTTTTCCACATTTTTCATTCTGATTTGTTGTTAGATTACTCATCTTGTTTCTATACCCTTACACTCAGTCAGCGCTCCATCGATTTCTTCATGACGGAGAAAAACTTTGACACAATATTTCTTTAAAGTTCTCTGACAATTAGATAGAATTTCTATACTTGATTTTCATCTGTAAACATTCTTGGAGCTTGTATAGTATACGAGATTTTGAAGGACAATTCACTGCCCAAACGCGCTTCTCAAAAAATGAGAAATGAAATTTGATGTATTCAAAAAATACACAGAAAGGCTTTTTAACTATGCTAGACTTAAAGAGGCTGTCAAATATCTTGAATGTATTTTGCTCGGAAAATCATCTCACTTTTAGGTGAACGCTCCTTTTCAGTAGCGCTATCGATTAGGCCTGTAAAACACATTATTTATTCGTTTAACATAAAACAAAAGATTTGCAAATCTATGCATTCATTTTGTTTTTGTATCTATCTATTTACCTCCTCCCCAGCTCGATGACTCAACCTGCTGCAGATAAGAATCAATTTATTTGAATAGCTGCAATTGATCGATGAATCCAAGAACAACAAAAAATTTCAGTGGTACTTGTCTAAATTAATGTCAGCCGAGGTAGGAGGTTGAGTTTTCAACCGTGAATTTCTTTTATGAGGTCACACAATGTCGATGCAAACATTCAATCTGAAGTGACCTTGACCATTCAATCTCTTCTACCTTTCAGGATATTCACCAAATCGCTTTGTAGATTTGTTTGCTGAATTTTATAGTACTTTCAATGAAGTTGAGATCTTCTTTTCTTTTTATCTGACTCTATGCTCTCGCTTTATCTACAAAAAGTCTGAGTCAACCATTTAATGCGACTTTATTGACATGCTATGCATCCTGCTTGCCTCCGAATCCATCAGCTTGAAGTCATTACTGTGACTTTTATGTCACTCAAATGAGGCCCTAAAATTGGCAACCCGATTGTGTCTGTGACATCTGCTCATCTATGGGGTCCCTTGGGGTTCTGGGGCGTAGTTCACACAAATGCAATACGCTCTATTGTAGCTTGAAATTTTCTATAAGATGAATTTGGAGTCCTACGTACACAGGAAAACATTCTATGAAGTGTAAAATGCTAACAATCTCGTACATGGTTGCGTTATGTTTGTGTAATTCGAATTTTAGCCCAAGCTTCTTTATAGTGTTTTAATTATTCAAAATTCATAGTCTGCCACCAAAATCTTGTCATTTCCGTGTTTCTTCTAGTTGATTGTCATCACTTTTCATTTTCATACTTATTGAATGACCTTGCAGAATGAGTGCTGACTCGGAAGCAACGCCTACCCAGGTCAGCCAACCGCCGGTGAAGGTGAGGCTCATTCATTGATTTGCTTTACTCCATAAAAACTTTTGAAGAAGCTTCTGAACAGCGCGAAAATTTTTCGAACAGCTCCGAGTGGTTTTCTCAATTACAAAGTTCCAGGGATAGAGCATTCTAGCATTTTACATTATCTTGTTGAAATTGCCGCCTGAATAATGTATTCTAAGAATCTCTTAGTTGATGTATCGTCGAGTCATTTGTAACTTAATATGCGTAGTGCACACTACACACACCAACTGACGAACCGCGAAACTAGAAACTGCTCGTTTTAAGTGATTTCTCCTTTTTATGTTGCTCTTTTTGTTTTAGTTGGCTGTATGTTATTCAGTAGAACACATTTTCTCATTTTTTTAGGCTAAAAAATCTTTTACTGAGAAGTTACTAGTATGAGTGCCGTCGATTATAGGGCTTAGTGTGCAATCTCACATATTAAGTTACAAATGACCAGAGGTTAGATTACGTTACGTCATGAAATATGAGAAAAGTTCTGGTTTTCAATTTCGGAAACTAGACTTCAGATTAGATGGGAAATTTAGCTTAGAAAATCAATTCTACTTCTCTTCATTGCGACAGAATGATTTATTCAAAATGCTATATTTTGTTCAAATATATATTGATTTAAATTGACAAGGTTAATCATAACTGTTTCAACATATAAAATGCTCTATGTCTTGCTCGCATCAATCTTTATGGGTGGTTTTTGATTTTTGGTGCCTTTTCTCAGAAGGAAACAAAGCACGAACGAACATTTGAATTTTTTTCTAAATTTGTCATTCCTCTAGATTTCTAAACTGTTTTGTCTGTTTGTTCGAAATTCTTCTGCTTTGTGAAAGATTGCAGAATACTCTTTCCCAGTAAACAACTTTGTGGCCTCAAAATCAACCAGTTCCTGCATTCATACATTTAAATCAATACCTAGTAGTGAGGCCAGCTGCAGATTATGGGGCTAGAGCCATTTAGATGCTAGATTTGGAACCGATTTGCTTAGTTAGAGAGGAAATCTACTAAAAACTTCAATCGGAATTTCTTTAGTTATACTTGCAAGGTATTTGCGAAATGAACAGCTTATTCATTGAAAAAAGCAATCGTTAGCAGTCAATGTTGTAGAAATATTATTTTTTTTGTATTAGTTACTTATTATAAACACCAATTTTTCTTGACACGCATTAGCTAAAATATAAAATTCCAGGAAGAGGAGGCGAATATGGCAAACTCAGATGTCAAAGCAGAAATGGATGCGTCATTTGAAAGCCAGGCTTCGTTATATAGTGAAAGGTCAAAAAGAAGACGCTATAAAGCAAAAAGGGACAAGGTTAACTGTCGATTTTTTGCTTAATTTTATTTTTTCTGGTTTTATTGTATTTTGAAGAATAAGTAACTGCTTGTCATTTTTCTTTTTGCTTGTTTTGACTTTTCTCTTTATCCCATTCAGTTTCTGATAATTAACAAAATTTTCGACGAAGTCAGAGTCAAATTTGAATTATTTGAGGATTAACACGAGCAACTTTTATTTTTTCGACAGAACCTGCTCTAGTTTACTTACCGAAACATCCATTAGAATTTCTATCAAAACCTTCATAGAAGCCTAGCGCAACTGGCCGCACTTGGACGAAAGTTGAAGATCCTCACGCTCCACGCAAGCCTCGGTCAGGTTACGTACATTTCTTGAGGTTAGCTTTTTTATTTATACTTCCGTTTTGTTAATCTCACGTTTCGAATTAGTGCTCGTCGTTCAAAATATGGTACTGTCAAGCAAGGATGTGATCAAAAGAGCATCAACATGGCTTTAGCTGCCGAATGGCAGGGTCTTAGTGACGAGGAACGAAAGGTTCGTAATCTGTGACATTTTTTGGTATGTTCTTTCCTGCATTCAATCAGTTTCTTGTGCTTTTAGCCATTTCTCGATCTTGCAACGAAGGAGCGACAGCAGTATGAAGTAGAGCTAAAAGCTTACGAGAAGACTGATCATTATAGGGAATTCATGGGTATGTTTATATTCAATAGTTTATTTGTTTTACATCTGCTCCATAATATATTTTTAATCACTTTTCATTATGATCTCAAATTGTGACATTCAAGTCTTTTCTGCCACGTCAATCAATGTTCATTACTTATTTAACACTGGTTTTCTGTTTCACCTCTAATTTTTACAAAACATATCGATAAAATCATTTATATCCCCTCATTGGTAGATGTTCTAGCTTAGTTTTCATTTTGTCTGCAAGTGTTTATTCAAAGAACTCTTTATATATCAATCTTTTCTGATTCTAGTGAGTCTTGTAGAAAAGAAAGAGCGGATACTGAGACTGAGAAAGCAACGGCGAAAGTTAGGTGTTGACACTAAGGAAGAGTTTGACGAGTCCTTGGACTTGGAAGATTCATTGCTGGAAGATTCCAAGAAGAACGTGAAAAGTCCACCGACAGAAAAAGTAGTTCTATATCGCCCTGATTTGAGCAAATTTATTTACTTTTCATTCAGAGCACCACATCTGAGCCAATCGTGGCGCCCAAGATTCCTAACTCAAACATATCGATCTTCAGTTCAGAGTTTCTCGAGTACAATAAAAGTATGTTTACTCTTCCTTGCAAGTCTATACTTATTTATCTTCGACTTTTGCAGACCGGGAATCTCAGTTACGATCGATTCGTCGAGAAATTGGTGTCGCTGAGGCTGAGCGGGAGGCTATGCAACGAACAATTGAGAAAATGCAAGCAAACAATGCTGCGCTTGAGTCTCAGGCCGCAAATGGTAATTATTTCGAATCAAAAGTTTGTTTCAAACTCAAAGTTCGTTTTCTAGACAAGAAAATGGCAAAAGAAGCAGATCGCATTATCGAGTGCTGGATGCGAGTTTTGAGAAGCGCTATGAGCGAAACAATGAGAGGTAGGTGTTTGCTGTTTGTTCAACTTTCAATTCTGAGTTTTTGCTTATTTTCTTTATCTTCTTTATCTATTTGTTAGCATGAACTTCCGATAATTTATGAGCATTTGTTAGCACCAGTAGTACAGAGCTTGTGCTAGGCTCTTAGATTGTTTTTTGTGACTTTTTTTGCAAAATCTGAGCCTCATCTTGCTTTGTTATCTTTATCGATCATTTGTTTGTGAGCGAAAGCTGAAGTTGAGGTATTGACAAATTCCTTTTCATCGAAATTACTAGCGTTCATAGGTCTTGCTATTGATTTTCAGAATATAACCTTCAATCCCCTGAGGAAACGGTTACGTTTCTCACTAAACTAGCTAATGGTGATGCTCCTAACGAAGATGTGCTCCAAGCCGTAAAAGAAGTCATACAAAGCGCTTCGTTTCTACTGCCAAAATAGTCGTCGTCATTGCTTGTTCCGATTATATTTTCACTTACTGGTGATTCTTTCCTTTTACTGCATGTGTCGCTTTTACCGTTGATGTTTTACTTGCTGCAGGGCGTTGTTGTCAATTCATTTGTTTCTGGACCACTTCTCAAGTCTATTTTGACGCTCAGTTCTGTTTTATTGTCGATGGATTATATAACACTCAGTGTTGAATCTTTAGCACTCGTTTGATGAGTGTTGTTGATGCTAATGTGATCTCATACAGTTTTATGCCATCAACTGCAAAAATAAATATTTATTCAAGGCTTCATCTGAAACCGTAATAAATAGCTTAAGACACGTGTCCGAGGTTGCAAAATTACAATATCGCAATTCATTCATCTGTGTAGAATATGAGCAGCACCTAAGACTTGATGAAACCTTTTTCCTTGAGTTTTTCTATAAGTGTGGGTACATCCGGAACAAATCCACCAGCCTTTCGGACTGGAGGCTCCGTCACCTAAAAAAATATACATTGCTGCATTTATCTGTGAAAAGTAAAAAAATCCACACCTCTAAAAGTTTCGTTTGTTGCTTGAGATCGATCCCGAGGTCCTTCATTGTCATTTTTGTCATCGGCTTCTTTTTGGCTTTCATTATGTTTGGCAAAGTTGCATATCGAGGCTCATTCAAACGAAGATCTGCTGATATAACCGCCGGAAGTTTGATCTAAACAACTTGTAGTATTCAACGTTCAGTGGTAGCGATGACAGCTTTCTTTACAAAGCAATTCTTGTTCTTTGAAAAGATTACAGAATTCCTGCGGTTACATTCACTCTCACCTGAAGTGACCTCAAAGGCAGGTGCCAGATTTATCCGGTTCATTTGGTTCACTTCATTCGCTATTGGGCAGTTCATTGATTACCAATAGCAAATGAGTGAACCGGACGAACCGGATAAATCTGGCACCCACCAAACGCGACGGACCATGTCCATATGGCGCACCAATCTTTGGCTTGTTGCCAGCTTCGTCAACTTTCTTTAAGTGCAATCTCCGCATCTCGCAGTCTTCTTGCACTAACATCGATCGCTGTGTTTTTTGCTTCTCCATTAACTCTCCAGTAGATTTCAGTCTACTCAACAATCGGCTTTAGATGGTTGCTATACACGATTCGTGACACGCAAAGACTGGGCGCCGTTGCGTCCGGCCAAGATAGTTCGTGCAAGGGAGAGACAGTGGATGGTAAAAATGGTAATGAAAGAGCGCTCGATTAGGAGACGACGATAAGTCCGCAGTCTTTGCGTGCCGTGAATCGCCTATATTTAGTATTATGACTATCATAGATGTTTTCACATGATATAGCGCAACTTTCAGGGAGAAAATATGTACAAAAAAGATTGATACGTAAAAGGGCGGAAAGGGTGCCGGAGCACCCTTTCCGCCCTTTACGTATTAATCTCTTGTGTTCTTCGACCCTTTCGACCCACTATCATAATCAAATCATTGTAGATGGAATGGATCTATGAGTCTGCTGACTTCTCTATGGAGTCTTAGTGCCCTGCTTGTCAATCAAAGATCCTAAAATTGCGGAGTTTGTCGAACACTTCGTTCATAGAACTGCAGCCTGCTGGTGGATCATATTTACTCGTATGACACATCGCAACATTTCATACGATTATAGCAGCTATCGTCGATTCGTTAACCGCACACACTGCGGAGCACGCGCCGCGAGGTAAAACGCTTGCGGGAGACGGTCAAGAGGTACGATCGGCGCGAATTTTTCGCGAAGCGACGCCGCAACGTACTTCAGCCAATACAACAGCAGCACTCCAAGCGCAATGTTACTGTAGCATCTAGTCATGTATCTGTCCCCACCCCCGTCTTTTTGCCGCCAGGAGTCTCTGATATGGAGGGCTCTATGGGTCCCAGAATCTGGACGCGGCGTGCGTGGCGTACCTCTTGAAGGTATCGTCCCCTCCACAGCTCGTGCTACCCTTGTGGCCTCGCAGACGTGCCACGTGTGACTAACACATTGGCAACGTTGGCAGCAACACGTTGGCAACATGCAGCAACATGTTGGCGTGGCCAAAATGTTCTGCCAACATGTTGTGGCATGTTGCAAACAGTTGTTGCCACGTTGCCAACATGTTAGCCACACGTGGCAGGTCTGAGACGCAGACCAAGGGTAGCACGAGCTGTGGTGGGGACGATAGGTGCCAGAGTAAGCGAATATTTTGTTCAGGTTGGGGTCGGGCGCAGAATTGACGTCACTTGGATTGACGCCAGCATGGTGAGTGACGTCCATTCTGCGCGGGACCCCAACCTCAACAAAATATTCGTGGCACCTACCTGACATGCAGCCAACGCTGGGTGTATGTCGAAAGGCGCGCGTTCCCTAAGCCTTCATTTCCAGACTAGATCAGTTCTCTACAACAGCGAGGTTTCCAGATTCCAAGACTTTTGGTAGTACATCAGAAAGCGTAATGGAGGATAACCAGTTGAAATCGGAAAGTATTGAAATAAATTTGAACTTATTTCTTGCTTCTCCCAGTTAATGACAATCGATCAATACGCGCCGTTCGACCTCTCCCGCCAACGCTTGCCCCAGTGCAAATTGCTATTGTGCAAGTATGATCTCGCACCATCTTGCAACGTTTGTGCAGTCCGGAGCGGTCAACGAATCGACGGTATATGATAGACAGTCATAGTCTTGAATCTTCAATTCAGTATGCTGATTGCATTATCATGACCAGGGTCGGCACGAGGTGGCTTTAAATGCAAACAACCAAGTCCCCCTTGACTTTCACAAAAATTCACGAAATGCCCCTTGACCCTAAACCCTAAACGTTAAAAAAAACCTCAAAAAACGAAACGTAGACTAAAAACGTAACCTAAGTTGTGTTTTTTCAACCCAAAAAACGATGTTTTCTTTGCTTTTTGTCCCAAAAACGATATCCAGCCTGTGTGCCGACAATGTCGGCACCCTTCTTTACCGTATCACTTTACTCATTGCTAAGTACCGTACAGGTCATGCCATAAGCATGACCTGCTGTGATATGAGTATCTCTGTAGCCCAGATGCATGTATACTACTTTGACACGCCTATCATACTCAGCATTCTACCACTGCACTAATACGTGCACGTCGTCTGTTCATAAATCTACATCACATGTGTTCTGTATAACACTGGAGTCAATTACTCCCAATCAGGCGCTAATTCGCCTCAGGCCACAATACGGCCAACGAACCATCGATACATTTGGTGCATCGGCCAAACACGAAGGCCGACACAGTGCTTCTCTCTAATAGCAGCACGGAAAGGATCACCACACAATGATGCTGATTCCTCGCCACTACGTAGAAGAAATTAGATGGCACACCAAAGAACTCACGAAACTACTGCAAGAGTACGCATGCCAAGGTGAGAAAACCGCACTTCCAGAGGATGACGAACCGCGACGAAAATTTTGCGCCTACAATCTGCGTGTATCGACAAGGGTTATCAAGGAAGTCGAAGCGAATTCACAGTTATTACAAACGGAAATCGATCTACTGGAGCAGCTGTATTTGAAACAAACTAAAATGATGAGGAAAGTTATGGTAAAGGAGCTCGACGCGCTTGAAGAAGAAATCAGGTACTTTCAAGCTATGTTCGATGCCGAAATGTTCATTAACAAGCTGCATGACCGACTACTGGAATGCGAGATAGAACTATCTAGACTGGAACGCAAAAAATGTTCACTTCATTACGGAAAAACAAAAGAGCCGAGCATAATTCTACGAAACCAGCAACCAGAGAAGATACTCATATTGTGAACTCACACATTGGGAGAATCACTGTTGTGGACAGCTCACCATCAGCTGTCGATAAACTACAAGATTCTAGCAAAACAGTCATCTTAAGTTTCAAAGGAAATGATCAAAGTTTTGCAACGACAGAAGCGGAATTATCGCAAGACATCAGGCTGGAGAAAGCAGTTCCAGAAAAAGAAAACAACAATCAATGCGATAGGATTGACCGATGCGATACAAACAAGGCCCTATCTGCATACGAGGTACCTTTGCAGGTCATGTTGCCTACGGCTATAACAAAGGTAGAGAGAGCCGATATCGAAGATGGAAAGTCAATACCTTCGATTTCAACTACGTGTATTCAAAGTGTAAACGTTCCGAGACTCAACTGCATGTGCCATAATCGATGTACTAATTTCAACTTTTCTATTGAAACCTCCTTGCTCCAACCGTCTGCCTCCTGCCTTCGCTACATCCACTCATGCTTCGCGGATATCAACACAGTCGAAACGATATGCACCGCTCACCAACGACCACTGCTGTATCCAGACGAAAAGAAGAATTTGCGAGCAGGAGTAAATTATTTTACATGTTTCTATATGTTGCCTCTCCTTTTCTACTCCATACCGGGGTAGATCGGCACCTCTTTCACACTTTTCGGTAGATTACTGTTTTCTGAAACAATCAGTGGTTATATTTTTATCACGTTCTTCACTGTCCATTCGCTTTCCGTCGGTGGCAGTGTGCCGACAATGTCGGCACCCTTCTTTACCGTATCACTTTACTCATTGCTAAGTACCGTACAGGTCATGCCATAAGCATGACCTGCTGTGATATGAGTATCTCTGTAGCCCAGATGCATGTATACTACTTTGACACGCCTATCATACTCAGCATTCTACCACTGCACTAATACGTGCACGTCGTCTGTTCATAAATCTACATCACATGTGTTCTGTATAACACTGGAGTCAATTACTCCCAATCAGGCGCTAATTCGCCTCAGGCCACAATACGGCCAACGAACCATCGATACAGCCTGCTTATAAGCCACCTGTGAGCCCTGTTTATGACGTCGATTATGAGCTATAAGCCTTATCGCTAGATGTGTGGCTTACCATCCATAAACAAGATAGATTTCACGCTTTTTAACGCTACGCAGAAGCAGTATTAGCTGAGCGGGCGCAAGCGTGAAGAGCCGTTTTCCACAGTTCTAAATGTGCCTACGCTTTGCGGCTAACAAGACCGCGGTACTCCTGAGTTTTGCACATTCGTCCGGCAGTAGCCTTTAGAGTAGTCATCATGGTCATGCAAACACTCTTCAAGCGATATTTGAGTCAGATACGCGAATAACTTCAATTACCGTAGTTTGCAGGTAACCCTCATCTAGTACCTTTACACTAGAATTGGACGGGATGTGCACGCCGTCCTAGTTTTAGGTGTGAAAAGCAAGATAGAATCTATCTATCAAAAGATGATTCTTACCTTCACAACATCCATACCTCCATCAATTTCTCTTGATACTTGCAAGTGAGTGTCATCTGCTTTCTCGACCTGAAGTTGATGTTTGAGCGATACCGAGGACAAATTTCCATGCAATAATAATGGATAAACAACCACTAAAATGTATTGGACAGGGAAAAGAAAAAAAAAACCAGAAAAGATTGAGAAAAACTTTCACCTTGCTGGCGTACAAGGCTTGCGGCCATTCTAATAAACCAGCAAGAAGTTGTGGCGTTTGACCGGCATCGTCATCTATCGCCTAGAAACTACGTGAAATATGGCATTTTGATGAAATTCATTAAATTACCTGCTTCCCAAGAAAAACTACATCGAATTTCTCTTTCTCAACAATTTTCTGGAGAGCTTTGGCGACATGAAGTGGCTCCAGCATTGGGACCTCAGCATCCGTGGTCTGAGAACAAATGATATAAATCAATTTTTTATGGGATTTGGTTTTTACCTCAATATGAATAGCCTTATCTGCACCTTTGGCAAGAGCGTTTCGTAATACTTCTTGGCATTTCGGTCCTCCCATAGAAACGGCAACGACCTGAAGGGCAAAAATAAGGTAACTAATGAGATTGAAAATAATAGGAAGTACCAAACCTCTTTTGCTAGCTTCTTCTCCTTCATCCTTACAGCTTCTTCCAAAGCAATCTCATCAAAAGGGTTCATACTATGCTGCACATTTTCTGTGACTACTCCAGTTTTGTCTGGTTTTACCCTAACCTAAAATAGAAACGCTGAAAAGATGAAGTGTGAAAAATGTAAAAGGATGCCACCACATTGACCTTTCGCATTAAAAACAAAAAGAAACAAAAACGATACATTTAAAAAATGCAAAAGGCAAAAAAAATCATGATCTAGGATATTTGAGGAAAAAACCTCGATGGCAAGAACAAGCATTTGTACTCAAAACCGATTGTTTGGTCACCTGTTCATTTTTTTTAACAAATGAACACAAAGCAAAAAAAAAATGCACTGGACGGTGACTCAAGTGTACTTCATATGAAACGAAAAAAACTAGAAAAGAAAACTGAGAAGATCAAGAATTAATCAAAAAAACTCACCTTTACGGCATAGTCGATCACTCGCTTCACTCCCACTAAAATTCTCATAATGCCTCCCTAAAATAAGGAATTTTAGGTCGGATTCCCGAGAACGTGGAACTTCGATGTGTGTGTCAAGTTTGAAGGAATATTGAACAAATTTTCTTTTCAACTTTCAGTGATTGATTGAGGCAACGCTGCTAGGGTCAATGTACAAAGTACGCGGCCTCTATAGTTTGAGGAGTGAAAAATGCGAATCTGAATTTGCCAAGGACGTTCTCTATTCCAGCGGAAAATCATAAGTCTTTCACAAAAACAACGATAGATAGAGAGGCTCCTAAGAAATTCATTGACCAATTACGCTCGCGAAATCTTATGGACAACGCGTACACAAAATGTTTACCGGTGGTCCCGCCTCTTGCCGCATCCACCGACTTGATGATAGCGTTTTTTTTTACAAATGTTTTGCAGCAAAGTGCTACTTCTGCTATAGTCTAGCGTACCAAAAAACCGTCCTTGGCCTTCAAACATTAAAGTTTCGACAACTAACTGTTACGTACAAGACATTGGCTCAGACCTGATTAACCAACAAATGTGTAAACCTTATAGACTTCCATTAGACCTGGATTTGATATTTCCAACGAATACGAAGAGTCCACCCGCTCTTTTATTCATTTTTTTCCTTGATTTCCATGACAAGATGAAAACTTGATTTATCCGTTGAACCGACACTAGGTGAATTTCAGACCACTGCACCTCACTTGGAAATTGTTTACCTTGATGCTAATCAAGGCTTAATTAATTGCCCATCCCGTCTTTAGTATCAAAACAGATTAGTGAGCGATTGTTGTTACTAATCTAATATATAAAAAGTAACAATTCTCAAGGATAATCTGGCTCATCATGATCACATCGACCTCAGCATATCTTCTCTATTACATGAATTATCAGGCTGTTAAATAATCGCTAGATATAGCACACTTCAAAAAAAAAAAAACAATTGTTTAGAAGCACGTCAAGTAGTAATGCAATTATGGAAGCTGCGATAAACATAAATTTAAGGCAAGATGAGCAGCGGCTGCCTGATTGGTGCCATGTATGTTGCTTCACATCCCGATACAAGAAAATTTGTGTAGTTTTTGCTATCCTTCCAGCACTAAACTGTAGCAATAAGCACGTATGAAGAATTTATTTGTAAAAAGATATATTTACAAACCTGAAACGATCTCCAGTGCTTTAGCAACTCTAATCGAACACAATAAGTATTGATTGAAACACAAGTTGGTAAAATTGCGGTAAAAGTGCATGAAGTTTGCGTATGGAGAAACTATGTTGTTAGGCCTGTATACAACAAGGGCAATAACAAGAGTGTGCACGGAAAGGAATGACATAGCACATGCGAGTTCCATGAAGAAAAATAAGAACGAAGTTCATTTGTTGCGCAAAAAAGAACAAAGTATGAATACTCAGTGCGCCGACGCAAAATAGCAGAGTTCGTGCAGGTATGAATGACAGCTCACAAAAAAAGTCTGTCGAAAAGAATACGTGAGACATTGTAATAAAAACTCCCATTTTACATATTACGAAGAGCTGCTAAACGCTGGGTTAGCTCTGAGTCATCAGCAACAGATTGTGCGGCCGCCGGCACTGTCGATGGTACATTCGATGGTAGTTCAGCGTTGAGCTCGATGCTATAAAGTGATTAATTAACGATCCGAGTTAGATTTAAAAAAAACAACAAAGATATGAAAAGCAACGAAATCAAACAAAAGCTTACCCGGCTTTGTCTGCCGCTTCAGCAATGAGCGCATCAACCTGAGCCTTGGGTGCATTGAGCACGGTGGTACCGTCCATGGTTCGTTCCATGGTAGCAGTGTGCACATCAAGATTTTCGAAATCGCGCTCAAACCTATCCATGAGCTGTTGCACCTGCAAAGGAAAGTGGAAGTAAGATTATACACTGAAGAGAAGCAGATAATCGCTCACCTTCTCAAGATTCATGGTCTTCATGGCGCTTTCCATAGCTTTTACTACACCACTCATGCTACTGGTGACTCTTTTCTGCAAATCGATTTATCAATGACATAACTGCTTCTATCATGTAGGCATTTTTTACTGAGCATGAACCAAATTTCAAATGTCCTTTTTTCAATGTCTTGTGTTATGTTTAGAATAAGGTTTTGATCTACTCAAACGAGTTTTTTAAAATCACGCTTTGATATCATATAAGATAGAAAAGCACTGTTGTCTTTTCCTAACACTCTGCATTATCGGGTGCCAACCAGCTTTTAGCAATGATTTATAGCCAAAGCCTTTTGATTTGATGAAGATGGAAATATGTTCCTGACCGATCAGATGAACTCAAAATAGTATCAAACCAGATTTCTTTCTTATAAAAGTAAGAGATAGTGGAAAAAGAACAAGTTGTAAATATTATATACCTGCGTGGCTGCTGTTTGTACGCGAGCAGCAACAGCATCGATGCGTGCTGCCATACGGATGTAATTTACAGCTTCGTTCTTCTTACGGATTGCATTTTCAGCATGCACTTGGGCAACTTCCATGTTACCTTTCTAGAAAAGTGAAAATGAAAAGTGGCAATAGTGACAGTTAAAGGCACAGTACACAGAAGCTTCCCTGCTGATCTTTGATTACCAAAGCTTAGCAGGGAATGGTCAGAACTTAACACAGCCATACTAAACATCCTGTATATCATCGGACTTGTCTTGAAACGATGGTCACAAATATATATTTGTTATCTGCCAAACGACTATCTAGGAGCTATGAGCTTTCAGACGTGCGATTTGTCAAGTGTTCTGTGGCGCATGTTCCACGAAACACATTTCAAGAACACTTATTTGAGGTTCTGGTCAATGTGCTCCTTCCTTGTCATTGAAATAACCATTGCCACTGTAGATCCGCGCCACACGCTACCTTTCTTCTCATATTTGAACGCTCTTACTCCTCCCACATAGTCGCTTGGCAGATAAAAAAATATTCTTGAAATTAGCGTTTTAAGGCGAGTGCGATGATATACAGCTTGTCTGGAATGGCTGGGTTGATTTGTGACCACTTCTTTATTAGCAATTTTCCAAAGAGAAAAGAGAAAATGGACACAAAATGGACCATAATATTTCATTTTTGATATTTCAAAAAAAAAACAACATGAAATTGCAACATCGTAAACTTGTCAATGAATGGAAATACCACTAACGTGATAGTAGAAAAGTAGGATTACAAACTAAATATACAAATGCTTACCTTGATAGCCGCAGTAAGTTTGTCCTTCTCAACCTTCTCCTGTTTCTCGCATCTCTGCGCACTTTTTTCCAGCTGCTTTGCAGCGAATTTCAACTCGAACAAATGCTCTGAAGAGATGATGGTCTATAATTATTAAAGTCAAAAGAAGGAACATACTGTCGAGTGACATGGTGCTATCGCCTTGTCCCAGTTTCTAAGTTTTGGGGAGGTAGGTACTGCTAGAGCACGCTGACCTGAAAAAAAAACCTTGCACTTTCTAGTCAACTATGTGCAATGATCTCATGCAGAACTCAAAAATGTATTTGAAGCACTTGTACCAGCACAATCTCAGTGGGTAGTGCATAGGAAAATAGGGTACTAAAAGCAGTTAGAGGAGAAGCGAAATATAAGGCAAGGGTAAGGAGCGGGAAGGTGGTGATCAACAACACCAACACATGTTTTCATGCAAATACTACAAAATCAGACATTGCAGTAAAACGTACTTTTGATAGATTATGCGAAGATCCCTAAAAAAAACAACGACAATGTCACAATACTTATACAGAAGACAATCGACTAGGAGATACAAACATTATTGAACTTATAAATGAAATGTGTGAGACTGACCAAGCTATATAAGCAAGCCAAGCTGCTTGCAAAGGCTAAGTACCTTTAAAACTCCAAAATTTCATAACTATCGCGGATGACACAGATTGAAAGGGTGACTCATCACGACGAGATGATGGGCGTGGTCTGATGCAAAAGCTGCGCGGTTTTAATCACCCAAATCCTTTCATTTTTGTGTTAATGGAGTGCTCTGAAGTTGAGAAAAAAAGACCAACACTGCGGTTCAACCAAGCGCCGAAATGAAAGACACTCAATCAATTAAGAGCGAATCATATGTAATGAGACGTCTGATCACTGCTATAAGAACTTAGGTCTGTATTCCTAATAGCAAGCAGTTATAAGAAACTCACTCGAAAAAGAAGAAGTTAAGTAAAAGTCGTAAACAACACGAAAATTCTCTCACCAATTTAAAGGGACCAGCTCATTTTAATCATTGGGTCTCGGCACGTCGGATGACTGCGCCAGCCGTTACCGTAGTCTTGAGTCTCCCACACAAATGCATTTCTAATTCAAAGTTTTCCAATTTTTGTGTTTCATTGTTTTGATGAGCAATTTTGCGATAGATTGCAAGCAAATTAAATCTAGTTTTCTGTACGCTAAGATGGTGTCGGTTTCGGAAGTTTTGCAGAGGTCAAGTTGTTTTGCTTGGGTTTCCTTTGCTTTTTTTCCCAGACTTACTTCTTAAGCACTTATTGCAATTAATATGGGTAGTTGAACACTCTCCGGTGGTTTCTAGCTGCCATAGATGTCGCACGAACATGTCATAGAACAATTATTTCTATGTCAGTCGTTTTTCTTCCTGGAACCTTACGTGGTGGAATAGGGCTTGGTGTGCACTTCTGCACTGACCTGCATGATTCCCTTAATATTGTTATGAAGCAGTAAAACGCCACAAACATATTATCTTTTGTATCATCTTACTCTCGATATAGTCGCAATTACTAGAATGTGCCATGAAAATCTCTATGACCCTCACGTTGATTGCAATGTGTAGACTCGCAAACATCTCTTTAGCTACTTCGAAATTATGTTTCAGAGGGTAAAATGGCGCCGCGAGGCAACCAGATGTTGGGCAATGCCCATTTCCGCAAGCATTGGACAAAGCGAATAAAGACTTGGTTCAACCAACCCGGCCGCAAGCTTCGAAGACGTGAAAATCGCCAGAAGAAGGCTTTAGCCATATCTCCTCGTCCAGTCGCTGGTTTGCTGAGGTAACTTCCCTTTGGCTTTTCTATTTTGTTTTGCTTTTTGTTTGCGATAGGTATTTTCATTACAGATTTTTTCTAACCTTGTTATTTGCACTTGATCCCATTTATATGGTCGTTAGATAACGGCAAGAAGCATTCTTTTGCATTCTACATACTGTTCAGAATTTTTTGATACGTTAATGCACCACACCATTGCTTATAGGTCTGTTGTTCGTTGCCCGACTCAACGCTACAATCGCAAAGTAAGGCTTGGCCGTGGCTTCACTCTCGAAGAGCTCAAGGCAGTAGGCATTGGAAAGCGCGAGGCTAGAACCATTGGCATTGCTGTCGACTACAGAAGGACAAACAAGTCTCTTGAGGGTCTCAAGGTAAGCGGCTGTGCCATGAATTATGTTTGCGTGATACCAGCTATTCTGAGCTTTTATGCTTTGGATATCCTAGAAATCACGCTAGAACATATGAACTCGTTTGACACAAGCAGCATCATTATTGTTTGTGATAGGAATGTTTCGACAGTTACCTTCTCTGAAATTTGTAATATATTTGTCTTTGTTAGGATGCTTGATGTCTATTCCGTCCTCTTTTCAGGCCAATGTAGAGCGCCTGAAGGAGTACAAATCCAAATTGATCCTCTTCCCCAAGAAGCTCAGCGCTCCACGCAAGGGAGATAGCAACGTAAGTTCGAATTTTTTCTTTTTTTTTGGTAATGTTATTAACTGCTTGGGTTTTACACTAATGTGGAAGTACCTTTTCTGCTTGTAATTTTTGTATTTGTTTTTGGTATCAAAATCCATAGCGTTAACTCGTTTTCATGCGATACGTACGTTTTTTTTCTTTGAATCATCTTGGCCGACTTGCCAAGCACGCTTACTTTTCTGCCTGACTGTTTTGAGTTCATGATGATATCGTGGAATGTCGTTGCTGCACCATTCATACAAAGGATCTGTTTTCAACAGTTTTTCTAGAAAAAGCTGTCAGAACGCAAGTTAGCAAAGAACTGCACTATATTTCTTTTTGAGTTTCTTCAAGCTTTCAATCATGTAATGCTTCTCTAATGTTTATATCATACTATTGGCACGATGTCACTGATTTCATGCAAAATTGTATGGGATTCTCTAATAATCGTGCGAAAACAAGTGAGCTCTTCGACATTTGCATCTGGAAAAATCAGTGCAAATGATAGGTAAACTCGAACATCCCGTTCTGCACTTAGACTTTGAAATATTCTTTGAAGTAAGAAAACTAATCATGTGGTTTCAGCCAGAAGAACTCAAGGTCGCCGCTCAGCTCCATGGCGATATCTTGCCAGTATCCAACGTCATCGATTATGAAGCTCCACGCGCCATCAATGAAGCCGAGAAGAAAGTCGAAATTTACCGCCACCTCAGACGACTCCGTGCTGATAAGAAGTATGCTGGTATCCGTGAAAAGAGGGCAAAAGAAGCTGCCGAAGAGAACAAGTAAATTGTTGTTGATTTGTGTTATTTACATAAATTGTTATCATTTTTGTCGATTTTCAATACACATTCGCTCTCATTAGACCTCTCTTTGTATTGACCCAGTAATTTGGCGGACCCTCACTGTGAAAGCGCTTTTGGAGTTTCCGATGCGTAATGGCCATAAGGTTACCTGCTTACATCATTACTTATTCTAGTCTAATTAAGCAAACGTATGTAGCTTATCTTGGATTATCATCGGAATTTTTGTGCAGTCTGTCAGGGTTTCTTTTAGCCTGGAAGTCCCAAATAGAGCTTGATGTCGGGCTAACCTAAAGGCTGAACAATGCTCAAGGGCAGCGTCCGGCAAAATTTCGCTTTCCAGTTTTCACCTTTTCGGAGCTTTCTCGCCATGAGAAACCTATATCTGGACTTAAAAAATTGTGAAAAATTGCAATTTTGTGCATGAAAATGAAGTGAGGCTTTTTCGAAGCTCTCCAGGTCCGTGGTGAAACTATGCCGGAAGTCTTCCGAGCCCCGCCCACTTGCACATAATTCGCATGCTTCGGAAAAAGCTCAATTTGCCGTTTTCATGCGCCTAAAAGCCCAGATATGGATTTCTCATGGCCAGAAGGCTCTGAAGAGGTGAAAAACTGAATATGAATTTTGCCAGGACACTGCTTAAAAGCATGATGGTCCGTTTATGGTTTTTTTACATTCTACCGGAAAGATTCTGAAAGTCTGCTGGCTATTTCTTCGCGACGCTCGCATATTGGTGAGGGGATTTACGTACCTAGTTCTGTCGGATGAGAGAGTTTAGACGTCAATTATATGATGAGATATTTTAGAGGTTTTTCATTAGGCATAAGTTCTGGATACGAAGGATTAGGAAAGAGACCATAACATTGACTTGCCAGTCGCTGTTCGCTCATAATCTGAAGTTTCAGACGAGTAGAGAGAATACGCCAGGAATTTAGGTCACTCATGGTAAAAATATTCGATCTATAATTTGATCTGCTCATGTCGTTAAAACGTTTTTAACATTGAAATTTGAATGCCAGCACCAGAACGGTTCATTTTATGTGCCTAAGCCAGTGAGTAACTGACGAGAACACATCGTGCAAGGAAATTAATTACCGTGAGTGTGAGGAGCGTATCATGAGTGAGTGTACTCAATGATTTCAAACAGATACTTGACATCGTTTTGAATCCGCTTCGCGAAGATGAATTATGACCTTTCTCCTAAACCTCTGATTCTGTAGAATTTTCAAAGAAACTCCGTTTGATTTATCAAGAATACATCAATTGGTTCATACTTTTTAACGCTTCACTTAGCGAAGTTATAGAATAGATGACATAATTATGAAACGCACTGTACACATGGGAACACAAATGGGACGACAAACATTCGAATATGTGAGAGATTTGCAGAGATCAATTCTTGTGCACTTTATCGTACGTGTCCTTGTTCTTGTACGCTGCTACATATCCGGTCTTTTCCACTTCATCGACACGTCCGGCTTTACCACGTCCTGGAAAAAGAAGGTCAAATAGGCTAAAAAAGCGTATAGTTTGCAAGAGGATATGATCAGAGATGATTCTAGGGTAAATAGTTTTTATTATTTCCTTTGTTTAGTGAACTTCGACAAACTACCACTCAATCGAGGTACCATATAAATTCACCAATTTTGAGTTATCTTTCCAGCTAAGCCAATGATTTTTGAAGCCCTCGACCAATGAGGATTTGTTTATTTATAGGTTGTGTCAATCGCCTACTCCCTTTTCCATCAGCGCACCAACGCTTCGCGCCACGTTCGCGAGTGCGCGGCTTGCTATTCAAATTAGCCTCGTCGACTGGAAATCCACAGGCAAGTCGCTCGCGTTGAGTATGCGTAGCTACGCAAAAAAGAGTAGTAACTGGCACAATGTATCTATTTACTTGTAACTATGAGCGATAGAGGTGTTGACGTCATCAGATCAACAACAGGCAAAATTTGATCTCAACGATCTTGGGCGTCATTGTCGATTGAAAGCTGGTTACTTGCTGTTGTCCGATCTATTTGCTAACTAGCTGGCAAACCCGGCTCCGCCCGGCCCTGTCATTATTATATTCGTAATCAGCATGCTCGATTACCCCCCTGTGCCAACTCCCAGCCCCGTAGCTCAAATTTTGCAAAAAATTGATAAAATCGATATCGATCGATAACGAAAAGTAGCCTATGACACGCTCCCTGCCCCGAAGTATATGTGTGCCAAGTTTGGTCCAAATCGGTTTAGAAATAAAAATTTCTATTCCGCACATACGTACAGACATACAGACAGACATACAGACATTCAGCTTTATATATAAGATTATCCTTTCTTAATTTACAAGCACGCAGTTATAGTCTATGTCCTACAATTCTCCCTACAGGTGCTGCCGCTCTGCATGCCTCTCGCGCCTTTGCGCTGCCTTCGGCGCGCCTCTTAGAAACGTTTGCCTTAGCGCAAGATGTTAACTAATATTTTTGCTGAAAAGAACAAGGCGATGAGCAAAGTTTACCCATTATCATTTATTCTGTGACTAAGGGACTCGAAACCGCGTTGCACACATTGTCAGAAAAGCTTGATCTTGTTTTTTCGAGATTTTTAATCTCTCTCATCTAATACTGATTGCTACTTGGAAAACTAACAGAACAAGTTCAAGCTTGTTTAGACAATGTGTGCAAAGCGGTTTCGAGTCTCTCAGTCACAGAGTGAATGAATCAAATCTTTGGAATAAGATTTTGTCGCCTAGGCTGCGTCCAGAGTTTCCGTGCTGACGCCATGCCAGCGCCGCACTAGCGTGCCGGAACGTCGATCGATCAATACGGGGTCAAGTAGGTTTTGGCACGGTGCTAGCACTGCGCTGACACAGGGCAGGCACATGAACATGAACGCTCCTGAACGCTGGTATGATGAGGTGATTTTTGATGAGCTGTTGCCACATTAGTTAAGAGCTGAGCCGTTGCGTTGGCCGCAGCTTTTCAAATTGTCTGCGTCCAAAAATGGACCAGCACAGATCTGCGAAAGGTCATATCTGTCCATGCCAAGAATTCCTAAAATCACTCAGCTTCAACCGCACTGCCTTTCCAACTTTTCAAATTTCATGACTTTAGGATCCTTCTTGGATTTCCGTCCATTACTCGCATATCTTATTATGGAAGCTATACGTGCCCACTTCCGCCTCGCACTTAAGTAAGTTCATTAAGAAAGCTTATCTGTGAACAAAACGGAATCGTTCTCATGGCAGCAGATCCCTCTCTCTACTCGAATTTTTTGCCGTTCAGCGAACAGAACATTCCATGACGCATAAATTGCGCCGTCCATATAGGACACAACGGACATTATTTCGCTATTCCTCATCACGTGAACAAGCGGTGACTGATTCGAAATGACTGTGGCGTTCAGACAAACATAAAAACGATTGCAGAGCAAAAAAACTGCGTTTTGAAAGAACGTCCCTGACATGGACATAATCTGCGCATGACTGGAAGATTGCCGAAGTTTTTGAAGTGATTTTTAGGATTTTGCACGAAACTGTAAACTAAGAAAACTGGTTTGCAATTATGGTCAATATAATATTGCTACTTTGGCGTTTTCAAAAACTTAAGTGGTGAAAAGAACTACTTCTAGAAATTTCTACATGGTACGGATTATTGTGTACATGTATCGACTAAAAACTAGATTATGATGAAAACTGACTTTTATGGCCTAATATGTGGGCACATAACAAGTTTACTTGTCTTTGAATACCCATGAGATAAAGTTCACGTCACAACTTGTTAAGCGCACACGCGCGGCGCGTTCGCGGACTAATCGATACATGCCAATCAAAATTGAACAAATTATGGATTACCTCTTCAAACAAATTCCTTGCTGAACAGCGTGTTTTTACTAACCTTTCAACCCTGAATTCACTATTTGGAAGCAGAATCGGGTTCTAACCTTTACCCTCAGCATCGAATCGTTCCTTATGAGCTCCAGTGTATTTGGTATGATCCGTTAGTCGAGAGTAGACACCGTTCGCATCAGCTTTGGCAGCGGTGTTCAACGTTGGTGCTTCAAGCTGTGCGAGTTTCTCAGTGATTGCGTCGAGTTCTTCCTAAAAATGTCAAATAGTCGTAAAATTTATCCAAATAAGAAATAGTATCTAACTGCTACGAGTAACTGGTAATTTATATGGTCGAGTCAGTCCTAGCATAACATGTGCGATTGCACACAATATGCACGTTGGCGTGGTATCCGGCAAGTTCGCTGCGGGAGATATTCTACTAATTTTTGTTGTTTTACCTTGTTTAGCTAGTGAACCAGTAATCGGGTGGAGGAACGAACGCCTCAATTAGGCCCCGCCTCCGCGGACCACTGGTCCCAGATGAGTAGGACGAAAGGACCAGCAGCCCGCGGAGGCGATGCCTAAATGAGGCGTTCGTTCCTCTACCCCCAGTAATCTAAAGGTGCTATTTGGAAGAGCGTTCGCTACGGTACCGCCACACCGTTTCCCGCTATTTGCACATTTTTGAACTGAGTTAACGATTTTTTATATAGTAGATATTTCTAAGGTACTGCGTGATAATTGATTTTCAGAAAATGTACGCAAAGGCCAGCAAATCTCACGATTTGACGCGATCTGTGCACATTGTCTGCAATCGCACATGTTAGTCCACGACACAGCAGACTATAACTAATATTATATTGTGATACTATCACGTTGACGACCGTGTGCATCCGCGCGTATGCACGCCCTGACCACCTTTTTGCACTTTCGTGCATCAATTTATCATGTGTAAACGAAAAGTTCCCAGGTAACTTTTATGCAGTGATAACACTGGTGGCCTGGTTGTCATATAGAACACACGGCATTGTGGTAGCTGTTAAACAGTTCAAACCGCAGCCGTAGATCATCAGTCCATTTTGATGTGGTCAAAAATGGCTCGGTCGCCAACGTGCTATACTACAACGACAAAGGCCAAACAAGCATTTATTTTTGTGTAATCCTCAAAGGAAGCACTCGTTAATTTTCCAGACGTAAATATAATCACTTTCTTATTTTGGCCCATAGATTAAAAAATACAAACCTGTACGGTCCTTTTGCTTTGTCGAGCTCGATCTTCTGCAACTCCAATGATAACCTTCTTCGTTTCTTCAAAATTCGTCTTCTTTTTTGGTCTGAAAACGTAAGGTGCTGCTTCCCACTTTCCAAATTGTAGATGAATTGGAACAATTTCAAACATCATTCATTCTATGACTAGTGGCCGTATTCATCAACGAACCCCGAGGGTTAAACTAACCCTGGAGGGTTAGTTTAACCCTGGAAAGCGTTTAACCCGTATTCATGAAACACAGGTTAGGCTTAACCCTGAGGGTTAAATCTAACCTTGAGGGTTAATTTTACCCCGAAAGCGACTAACCCGTATTCATCAACGAACCGTGAGGGTTAAACTAACCCTGGAAGTTAAACTTACGTGATTCATCAGGGTTAATTTAACCCTAGCTCAGAGCAAGGTTAACTCTACCCTAACACTTCATACAAACATCCACTCGCATCTAATAGTTTTATAGAAAACGATCAACGAGTGTTGTAGTACTTAGTATTAGTTGTTGTTATAGTATCTAGTTTCAACTTCGTTTCGTGTTCAAATTTGAAGTACATGAAACACTGACTTCGCGAGAAAAAAAAGTCCGCTTGGTGACAAATGAATGCAACGAGGAAAAATGGTTGCGCATTCCACTCTGACAAGTGCCAAAACAGAAGAATTCCTATGATAACACGCATTGACCCTCAACAAAGTAGCACAAGCCCGGTATAAAACGAACTACGCAAAAGAGCTTACACGGCATAATTGCACACATGAAAATAAACCCACGCTGTAAGATTGGATGCTGCACAAATATGCTAGAGATGTATCATAAAAACTAGTGCTAGAAGCTTATTCGTTGATTAAACTACTATAACAGTGAAAGAATAGAAGTATAAAGTAAATTTAGCGTACTTAGGCATTCCGTGATGTGAGTTTGCACAGCGCACGCATAACTGACGCCTTAACCCTCCAGGGTTAGTTTAACCCTCAGGGTTCATTGGCCGTATTCATCAACCATAGGGTTCGTTGATGAATACGGCCACAGGTTCGTTGATCGATACGGGTAGATCGCGTTCCGTGGTAAACCCTAGCCTATGGGTGATGAATACGGCCAATGAACCCTGATGGTTAAACTAACCCTGGAGGGTAAGCTTAACCCTCAGGGTTCGTTGATGAATACGGCCATAGGAGACGCGAGACCGCATTGCACACATCGTCTAAACAAGCCTAATCGTGTACTCAGCAGGTTTATACTTGTTATTTATCTCGTCCAGATTTACCCACTCTTTGGAAATAGGGAAGAACATAATCAAACTTGTTAGGACAATGTCAGCAATGCGGTTTCGCGTCTCCTAGTCATGGAATAGATGATATTTCAGTTTCACAAACTCGAAAGAAGTCACTTGGGCAGAATTTCTGATCCCTACGGATTCTTTTTGATATTCGTACTGCGCTAAGGACATGGTCAGTCACACTTCTGCTCCACCCAAAAAGTAACCGACCATACTTACATCCGCTATTTTCCGACATATCGTAACAAGGCACTGTTGCCGGGAAAAACTCACCCGGCAACTTTACTGAAAGCGATTCCGGTCATAGTTGTAGTAATGTTTTTCGAATCGAGCACACCAGCATCTTTCAGCCATTTGTCAAAGTTTTTGCCAGTCATTTCCGTAGCAGTGGAAGCGCCAAACTTCATGAATGCTTCCCATCTAAAACAGTAGCTTATTTTATTGAAAAAGTAATTGGATGGTGATAATTTGTCCTGAAATATCAACAAGTAAACGAAACAGGAAATGACGAAAGAGAATTTTTATCAAAAAATTATTACTTTTGGCAGTTTATTTTTAGAATTCTAAAAACAGATCTGACTAGATTTGGTGGCAATATTTTTTCCAAACATCTATAAAAATATATTGGAACCTGTCTCTTGTCAAAAGGAACTAGCATAGCCGTTCTAAAAAAATTGAAAAAAACCTTTTCTCCTCCTTGAGTTCCTTTGAGCACATCAAATTTTTTGTTGAGAGTTTGGCCATGAAAAATAGAATCAGGTAGAGCAAACTGGGATAAGAGCAACTTCTTAATTTCGTTCTATTTGCCATTTCAGTATTTTCAACTTTCGCGGATATACTCCCCCCCCCCCCTCCCCCTCCCCTGGCCCCTTCCTTTCCTAAGGGCAAGGTATGTGGCTCGATCCATGAAGCGTCTGGTGAAGTTGATTTCCGTGATCTTTACGCTTGAGTTAATCTCAAGGCTATGGATTACCGAGACCAGAGCTCATTCATAATTTATGACTATACACTTGGCAGACGGAAACCCACTCTTTAGATCGATTACCTTTTAGCTGTATCAAATTCCATTCTGCAGCTGGAGAACCCAGAATGTACTCAAATATTTACCGATTTGATTCTAACAAGGATATAGACATTCGCAAAAAGTTTCTTCTAGTTGTAGAAGATTTTTTCAGGTCTGTAATTTTCCCTTACGTACTTAAACAAAGCAAAATGGCTATTCACTTTATTCTTATTGAAAAGTACTTTCAGAAATAAAAACTGCTAGATTGTAACGACAGCTGAATTGCTGCATATTTTCTTTTCAAAAAGATAACTCAAGCATTCAATCACTACAATGTTTCAACTGAAAAATGTATTAGAGCAAGGCTAAAGTACCCAAGAAATTAAAATGTTTTTATTATCCAGACTGCATTTAATAATGAGCGAGATAATAACTATGAAATCCTGCAGCACTTCTGTGGGAAAAAATTTTTTTTGAAGGTTCCTTCAGAAGCAGAATTTCGGTCTTTCAATAATTCCATATTCTAGGCGTTCTGCCAATGAAAAATGACAAGTTCTGTTCTATTCCTAGTTTTCTAAACTTTCCTTTAACTTCAGCAAGAGATCAAAGATCAAAATAAGCACATGCCTATGTTCAACGCTGATAATTCCAACGTAATCAGAACCTATTCATACTAGGTAATCAGTAAAGCAAGACATGTGCTAAGAAAGGCAGCTGATAAGGGGGTGATTAGGCGATCTATGATTTTCCGTAAAAGTTTAGCTAGAAATATAACAGCACATTATTCGACATTCAGAGATCGAGAAGATTCAAAATTTAGCTCTCAGGAACTCTCGCTTTCATAGACAAAAGAAAATTACTTAAGATTAAGATTCAAAGAAGTGATATCGCTGCTCAGTTATTGGTCGACAGGCTTTTTTCGGAATGAAAGAATGAAAGTTCTCATATAAAGGACTGGGCATACTACACGCGATTTCAGTCGCGACGCGCTTTGGCAATATTCCAACTGCCCATAACTCACTAAGCACATTACGAATGTACGAAAGATAAGGCATTCTGTCAGTTCACATAAGTTACACACTATGCATGTGCAGCTTGCTAGTATTGGATCTGAAAAGTTCTGGCGAGTGCCAAATTTTCGCGACTAAAATCGCGTGAAGTATGCTCGGCCCTTGAGCTTTGAGCCTGAAATTATAATTTTTCCATGCATTTTGAGCGAGAACCATTAATGTATGATATTAGTTAAAAAAGGCATAGTGTGTCGCAAACCTTTTAGTAAAGCTTCTTACCAAGGTTTATAATTATTATTTTACGTATAGTTTTTTTGCAACAAGCGTAAATCTTGGCAAGATTTTGTATTTCATCGCCTCCCCTCTGCCTCCCATCCCGACCTCCCCAATTTTATAACCCAATTTTTCGCGCCTCTGACAAGTCGTAACCTTCAAGTACAACCCATATTTTTTGCAAGATTTGCAGCTTTTGCGTTTTTATGCAGCGATATTATACCCCCCAAAAGCAGATGGCGCCCCATTTGCGCAAAATTGGCGCCTGAGAAAACAAATGCGAAGCAGCATCGATTAAGAATTCCAGGAAAAGTCTCTCCGCGAACCTATTTGTGATGCGAGTGGCATAGAAAGTACTTTTTTCTATGGAGAAGCGGAAGTAATACTGGGAGGTGAAAAAAATTCGTTGAAAAATAGCCCTACAAAAACTCAAAATTGTTGCGATAACTGCCAAAAAAATGACAGAAAATGAAATAGAACTTGTTGGAATTTACATCATTGCGAGGTGAATCTCGTCGAAAAATTGTTTTTTTTGTAATTCATATTGTTGGAATGATTGTCAAAATTTGATGCTAGACAGATTTATTCTGGAAATTTTAACCAAATTCCTGACATCGTTTTCTTGATATCCCGAATTGCCCAATATTTATCAAGAGTTACTACAACGATTTAAGCAACAAGGTTTTTTACAGCGAATTTTTTCACCAATATAGGGTTTATTTGCCTTCACTTCTTAAGAACGGCACTTTCCAGATAGCATAAAAAAGTACTTCAGCAGATCCTGAAAAGTACCCCATATGTGAAATTCTAGAGCATAGAATTTTTTGGACGCATTTCCTTTTAATTCGGAGAAAAAATTCTGCATAAAAATTCGTTGAGTCAATATTCTTTTCCAAGATAGCCTGCAGTACGGAAGCTATTTTTTTTTTCGACGTATACATTCCCTTTCCGCAATATTTTGGAAATTCTGGTTATTTGATAGAATAATTGCCTCAAAATCTCTCTTGAAAGTGGATGAAAGCCTATCCCCTATGGATGACTACTCCTCGAATTAGCCGTATCCTCTTATTGTTGGCAACTTGCCAAAAATAGCCATTCTGGATGGTAAACGATAGTGCTTGCTAGTTGTACTTGAGAACATTGCCAGATGTGTAAGCCTAGCGGGATCGTTGGTCATGAAAAGCGAGGGAGGACCCTAGGATGTGTAAACAGCCCCTTCACCCCCGTTCCAATGAATTTTCGAGCGAACAACCATTGTAGGCAGAAAAGTGATGACATGAAAAAGACCCCTGTACATCATTGAACAGTGAATTCCAAATTGGCACGGTGTTTCGTCCATTTTCAACAAAAAAAAAAACTCTTATCTTCGTTGCGAAAAGTTCAAGAACACTTCGCCGTGAACACGAATTAGAGATATGATCGAAATGTGCTAGCGATTATATAAACAGACAATAGAAAAAGAACTAGATTCCAGTCTTTAGTTTTGTCTCGAGTGCCAGGGAGACGATAAAAACGGCACAGCAAAGTTCATTGCTAAAAATGCAGATTTTGCAACGACAAAATTGGAATTTTGAGAAAAAAATGGAGTAACTAAAATCTCAAAAATGCCTTAGAACTTTTTTTGCGAGAGGAAGTGCTTTTCTTTGGACTTTGATATAAACATCTAAATAATAACAAAATTGATATTTTGAGAAAAAACTGTGAAATCTATAAATAATGAGTTTTGCAACAAAAATTATGGAAACAAATTACACCTCAAGTGCCTACAGTTACTATGAAAAAATGTACCATAATTAGAAAAATCAACAAAGCCCTGAAAAGCTTTGCTTTACTTATCATCCTTAGACATTTTTACAGCCAACAATATGGAAAAAAGAATTTTTTCGCCTTATTTTGAGCCCCTTAGCGCGAATGTCCTGTACAAGGGCTAGTAGCAGTCGATATTCCCCCCCCCCCCCAGTTTCAAGTTATTCGATGTTTGTTCAGTCTTGTGAATAGCTGTGTCTAACAATAAACCTTCTGGTTAAGTCTAGTTTTCGACGAAATGTAAAAATTAGATAATCGCTGTCACAATCGCAAAGTGCATGTTTTTATTTTTCTGGCGTGTTGAACACTTATGACGCGTGATTGTAAAATTATACAACGTTTGACGATAATAAGATTTGCATTTTTATAGATAGGGGATAGTAGGACTGCCCTAGAGAGATCAAAAAAATGGAAGTTTTATCAGAAAAAAAACAGACGGCATGGAAGTTTTTTCTTGAGCAAAACAGATTTTGTAATTTTGGATAAAGATTGGCATAATTTCCCTTTGAGGGGTTCCAAACAAATAATTCACTGAAAAAAGCGAAAATTCAACGAAAAATATTACATTTGGATCCAATGTTTTTTTATAGATGAATCAAATTCTAACAACTTTCTAATGCAGAATTTTGCATAGTTGAAGTATTTTTCAAAATTTTTTGAGATTTGAATATTTTTGAGCCAAAATCACTAAAAATGTAGTCATTCGAGTGTTGGAAAAAACTTATTTTCGTTCCAGGGAATATCGAAAGCATTTTTTGCAAATTCATTCTCAATTCAGCCGATGAAAAATTGATGAACATAAGAGCAATGAGAGATATTTTTCAACAGAGTCGCACCACCATTTCGATTAGCCGAATTGCTTCAAAAAACATTCGTGCAAACGATGGCTTTATATTTTTCGAGGAAAAATCGTTGCATGACTGAATCTGCTGATTACCACGAAATGCTTTGTTCCACATTTGTTTTTGTTGATTAATAGCCGCAATATGTTTTGCGTTGATGGAGCACGTAAAACGAAGTAATAAACATCGCGACTGTAATGGCTAACCTCTTTTTTATATCTTTTTGGTCCCAATGGAATTCCAGCTGAGCGTCGTCTGATTTGGTTGACATCTAAATAGAGCCCATTAGAATGATACAAAACTTAAAGACGGGAACAAAGAACGACGCCGCTATATTCTCAAAATGGAGTAATAAACTCTATTGGGTTTACAGAACGACCAAGAGAATGAATAATTGAATAAACAGGTGGTTATAAGAATGTCTCGAATGTTTACTCTATGAATAAGACTGTGGAACGGGTGAATTAGTTGAACCATCTCAATGAGCTATTAGCCAAATAAAATAATTGAATGAGATAATCAGAAACAAGTGCCAGTTCAAAAAAAGGAAAATGTAGATGACTTGTGCTTTCATTTGAGTTATGATAAATGATGGAAGAACATAAGAAACCGATGACTGTTTGGATGAATGAAAATGAAATAAATCAAACTGAAATATGCATGATCTGTGAATTTCACAGATAGAATGAGCAAACGACAAAATACGTATGTAAACACAGAAAATGGGAATGAATTCAGGGATCAGATGAAGGAATGGGAGAAGAAAAGAATAAAAGTGCGTATACAACAGTGGCGTACCGAGGGGAGGCACAAAAAATTTTTTCATGAGGCTAAATTGAATTTTAAAAGATTTTGAAGAACATTTTAATATTCACTGGTAAAAAGAAGTCACTTGCACATTTATAGCTCATATAAGTAACTTTCAAAAATTTCTCGACCCGTACATAACAGTGCGTATCGAGGAGGGGGGAGGTGGATTTTGAGAAGCATACCAAACAAATTTTAGGTGTACTGGCTGACGCCACGCACCTCATCCGGAGAAATTTTTTGCCTCTCTCCCCTCCGCCCCCCCCCATGAACGGAAATCCTGGTATCCCACTGGTACACAACTATTGAAGAGAGTAGAATGAATGACGTAGACATAAAGAATGACTGAAAGAATGATTGAGTGAATGATTGAATGAAGGACGAATGGATGAATGGATAAATGGATGAACGAATGATTGAGTGAATTGTCGAATGAAGGATGAATGGATGAATGAATGAATAGATGAGTGAATGCATCAATCAATCAAACAATTGAAATTTATTGATTGATGATTTATGTAAGAAGAATCAAATAAATAGCTAAATAAATGATTATTTCAGAATTCGAAAGAATAAAAATCGGTATCAGGACTATAGATTTTGTGGATTGAAAAAAAACTTGTGAAATCAGAAAGGATTAAGGACTAATTTGAATGGAAAAAAGGAACAAGTCGACTGGAGAGACTTTAGGTCAGAAGTTATGCAATACGATATCTGGAATGAACGAATGAGGATACCAGATGAGTGCACTGAACGGATAAAGATAGGAAATAACCAGTTTCGTAAGCTCTCAGTTCCAGAGAGAGGCACACAGCGTTCTGGGCACTTACAACAAACACATAAAACGAACACACATATGTTTGCGCTGTGCTATACAAACCCATATAGCCGTAAAATGCGAAAGAAAAACTTGCGAAAAAGCCAGCTTTCCAGGCTGTACGTTAATGCATAGCCAAGCAAAAAGGAGATAAAAGTCGAAACGAAGAGAACAAGTCTAAATGGGGCAGAAGTTTGGTCTCGGACCCCAATTTCTGCCCGGCAAGCAGCTGATTAGATCAAGTAACGAACAATACATAATTAACTCATCCAGGCGTGAGTGGGATCAAATTGCGGGGACGATAATGAAGGGCAGCAGTTATGGATGGATATTTTGAGGTTCCCCTGGGAAGAGGAGTGGCTATACTTCGGGAAGAGTTTGGGAGTGGAAGGGGCTGCTCGATGTCGAAATTTCAAATGGCACTGAAGATAACAGCCATGATAAGCGACATTCACGAAAACGCTTGGAAAAAGCGTACCATGGGGTTTATTGCCGTTCTGGAAAGAGGAAATGGCCTACAGTTTTTCGGCTCCCATAAGGGCCATATCAAATTTCAAATGCTAATGGCATAAGTGCATGAAGAGGCATCGATTCGCATGGAGCACCAAGGAGAAGAGCAGTAATGATGCAAAAGCCGAAGAGAGGAAGCCGAGCTGGAGAAGGCGTGGCTTCCATTCTGGATCAACTCACACACAGCAGGAATAGCACGAAAAACAGCAGTAAAGCCATAGACTACTAGTCGGTGAGACGACTTGGGAACAAAATGGGTTCCGTCTCGCTACAGCTGAGCTCAGAGAACGACAAACTTGTCATTAATCAGCGCGGGGTTGCAGAGATTGTGTTGAACATATGTCTGCAGAAAAATCAAGAAAGTAGATAAAGAAGCAAAAAATGTATAAGCTTTCGCAACGAGAAGTGTCTTGAATTCCAAAAAGCCAGGATATGAAGGCTTAGAAAATGCACATGAGATTATGCAGTCTGGAAGGGAAAGACTATAATCTCAAAAAAAAGCTGATCGTGAGTTGCAAATGCAGATAATAGAAGCCCCAAGAGAAGAAACTTAGGTAAATGGTTAGGCCAAAGCTTCAACAGATTCAGATTCAAAGTCTGGAGCCAAATAAAAATCAGCAACCTCTAATGAAAAAGGGATGTCACAGAAGAGGTTCTTAGCAGGAACCATTTCCTCAGCAGGAAGTATACTAAGGTGGTCTGGTAGATTTACAATAAACCGCTTCGTCTGGAAAAATTTCCGGTAACGTTATATTTTTTGGTCACTAGTATAAATCATAAAAATTCACAAATGAATGTTTAATCAAAAAATTCTCTTATTCTATAGAGGGGACACGTCTGCTCCAGAAAATGCAATCATACAAAAAAAACATAAAACTTGACAACAGAAATTCTACCCGCTAAAAGCATGGTCAGATTTTTGTAAATTTGAAAATTGGTTGACGTGGATTGTGTACTTCAGAATTTGCATTCGCAGGAATGGGCTTCCATGAAAAAATCGAAACAAAAAATGCAATAAAAACGCCAGTTAAAAGCAGAACTATAGTTCTTGAAGCAGTTTCTGAAACACTTAGGGACCCTTTTTTTGAATGAACGAAGTTGCAAAATTGTCATGAGTTCTCTAAACTTGACATTTCGGATAGAAAACATGAAATTTGCGAGATAATCGGCCGTAGAAACTTCCGACTCTCAATTCCAGTTCCACAGCGAAGAGCACATGTGAAAAGGTCGAATACACTCTTCGACGTTACATATGTGAGTCAACACACGCCCGATAGTGTCGTCGACCGAAGGTTATACCCTCCTCGCCCCGAAACAACACTAACCAGCCCCTAGTTGCGAAATACGCCCGGTTTTTCTCCTTTTCAAACCCCGCAAGATTGGCGCCAATTTCGACATCTGTTCGTTCGCTTGATAAGAGCCGCGGCATTAGTTTTGAATCCTCAAGAAAAAGTAGTTGCAAGAAAGCTGTAAGATTATGAAATTCTTGGAGGAAATGAAGTGAGTCAGGGCAGGATTACTGGAAAATTTTGCAGAAATTTACAGGACATTTGAGTATATTTCTTAATTTCCAAGAGTTGTTTCCTTCACTGTCAAATTATGTTCTAGAGGCGATTAATAGCATTTATAGTAGCATTACTTAGATATGGGGAAATATACTCAAAAATAGAATGGGGTTGTGCCCATTTTGAGCAATTTGAGAAAAAAACTTTCTCAACCTTAGACTGCAAAAAAATCTAGAGTATGTCGTTAAGGTCAGGGTTAGATAATCGAAAACAAAATAATCCCACTTCAGAAAAATAAAACCTAACGGGGGGGGGGAAGGGGGAGGGCGCGACAAAAATTTTTCTCTGAGTGAATGTGCATGGCGTTAGCTACACATAAAAATTTTTTTAAAAAATTATTGTGGGCCCATGACCTCAAAATATTAGAAAAAGGGAAAAATCTTCCGATTTTTACGAGGCTAATTTGAATTTTAAAATTTTTTAAAAAATTATTTTAACCATTTACAAATATAAACAATTCACTTGCACATTTTTACAACCCATATAAGAAAGTTTCAAAACTTAAAAGTCGATCCATAACCTGCAATACTTCTAATTTTACTACGAATTTTCGCACGATTCTCAAGCGAAATTCCATTTTGACCTTTTTTTCAATCTCCATTCCCCATGCACAAGCTCTTTCCCTGCCCAGAACTAGTGGTCCACTTCTCCCTTCTGCCCCATTTTCTATTTCCTAAAGGCTCTGTGAGGATTAGCGACTGCGCCATGTGCAAAAAGACTTTTTGGCTTGGAAGCCTGAAAGGCAAGTGGAAGAAAGGATTGTAAACCACTCCAGCTAGTTTACGTCACTAACTTTGGTGAAACTGAGCAGAGGAGCTTATCTGGAAAAAGTAGGCACATTGTGGTTAGATTTACTTCCTTTGGAAATTGATTTTGCACGACAATTTGAAAAATCGTGTTCCTGGTCGAAAAAGACTACGCATTCATGCAAAAATTTTGAACTTTGGGAAGTTGGAGGGGAGACTTTTCTCTCTTTTTTTGCAGATTTGGGCTGGACGACTGGCAATATCTTCCGTGCGATCTTGCAATAACTTTTCTCAATGGGCTCATGGCGCGCAGTCTATCCATCACCAGATGACTTCGTTCTCGGTGAATCATAGGCTAGATGCATTCGTGAGAACATGTTATGGGAAAATTCTGGTTAGGCTTCAAGCAAATAATTTGCTTTAGCATTCTTGATTTTTATCGGAAACCTACCCCGAAATATAAATTTGTATTCTGCTATTTTCGGTAATGAGTCTCGGGATGGAGACATGCAAGTTTCTGTACAATTGAGTTGTTTGGAGCAGTTTTTAACTTCCAAAAAATTCGCATTTTTCATATTAGAGTAAATTTTTGCAGCAGTGCCTGTCAACGGATTGGGAAAAAACTGATTGCCAGCGGGTATAAATTTCCTGTTTTTGGAGTGCTATTGATTCTCTTACTCTGTTAAAAAGGGGGCGGGTGTTGTATTTCTATTTTTTATCTTCCTAAATTTTTTTGTTCGGACATGGCGGAAACTAGAGATATGTACTTCTCCAGCAATGATAGCCATGAATAGGGTCTTCCAAGGAAACGAGTATAAGAATGACGATAA